AACTATGGAAAATTCTTCAAGAGATGGGAATACCAGACCACCTGACCTGCCTCATGAGAATCTGTATGCAGGTCAAGCAGCAACAGTTAGAAGTGGACATCGAACAACAGACTGGTTCCAAATCGGGAAAGGAGTAGGTCAAGGCTGCATATTGACACCCTGCTTATTTAATTTATATACAGAGTACATCATGCAAAATGTCCAGCTGGATGAAGCACAAGCTGGAATCAAGATTGCTGGGGGAAATATCAATAACCTCAGATATGCAGATGACACCACCCTTAAGGTAGAAAGCGAAGAAGAACTAAAGAGCCTCTTGATGAAAGTGAAAGAGGAGAGTGAAAAAGTTGGTTTAAAGCTCAACATTCATCTGTGCTGCCTTTCTTGCTTCTACTTGAGCTTAGTCTCCGGCATTGCCGTGCAGACTAACTCATGTAGAAGCAAGAAAGGAAACCTTACACCACCAATTTTTGGAGGTCTTGTGAGATTAAGCAAGACCAATAAAAAAAAAAAAAAGAAGAAGAAGAAAAAAAAAGAAAAAAAAATAAAGCTCAACATTCAGAAAACTAAGATCATGCATCTCGTCTCATCACTTCATGGCAAATAGATGGGGAAACAATGGAAACAGTGACAGACTTTATTTTGGGGGGCTCAAAAATCACTGAAGATGGTGACTGCAGCCATGAAATTAAAAGACACTTGCTCCTTGGAAGAAAAGTTATGACCAACCTAGACAGCATATTAAAAAGCAGAGACATTACTTTGCCAACAAAGATCCATCTAGTCAGAGCTTTGGTTTTTCCAGTAGTCATGTATGGATGTGAGATCTGGACTATAAAGAAAGCTGAGCGCCAAAGAATTGATGGTTTTGAACTGTGGTGTTGGAGAAGACTCTTAAGAGTCCCTTGGCCAGCAAGGAGATCCAACCAGTCCATCCTAAAGGAAATCAGTCCTGAATATTCATTGGAAGGGCTGATGCTAAAGCTGAAACTCCAATACTCTGGCCATCTGATGTGAAGAACGGACTCCTTGGAAAAGACCCTGATGCTGGCAAAGATTGAAGGTAGGAGGAGAAAGGGACGACAGAGGATGAGATGGTTGTATGGCCTCACTGACATGAGTTTGAGTAAGCTCCAGGAGTTGGTGATGGACAGAGAAGCCTGGCATGCTGCAGTCCAAGGGGTTGCAAAGAGTTGGACAAGACTGGACTGAACTGAAAAGACAGAGAAAGCTTCTGACACAGACATCAGAAGCGGGCAGAGAGAGTGTCCCCTGCTAGTCTTCTGCAGTATGTTATATACCTATCAGCAGGCTGCTAATTAGAGAAAGGAAATGTCTCAGAGTGCCACCAGGCCCCTCACTCACAACATACATTTTGAGATAACATTGGCACAAGGTAGTCATCCTGGGCCATAAAACAATTGACATGAATCTTGAAGAAAGGCAGGTTTCCAAGCAAATATATATAGCACTATTTACAACAGCTAGAACAAGGAAGCAACCTAGTTGTCCATCGACAGATGAATGGATAAAGAAGTGGTGGTACACATACACAATGGAATATTACTCAGGCATAAAAAGGAATGCATTTGAGTCAGTTCTAATGAGGTGGATGAACCTAGAACCTATCATACAGAGTGAAGTGAGTCAGAAAGAGAAAGGTAAATACCATATTCTAATGCATATATATGGAATCTAGAAAAATGGTACTGAAGAATTTATTTACAGGACAACAATGGAGAAACAGATACAGAGAATAGACTTATGAACATGAGGAGAGGGGAGGAGAGGGTGATATGTACGGAAAGATAACATGGAAACTTGCATTACCATATGTAAAATAGATAGCCAATGGGAACTTGCTGTATGGCTCAGGAAATTCAAACAGGGCCTCTGTGTCAACCTAGAGGGGTGGGGTGGGGAGGGAGATGGGAGGGAGTTTCAAAAGGCGGGGGACATATATATACCTATGGCTGATTCATGTTGAGGTTTGACAGAAAACAGCCAATTTCTGTAAAGAAATTATCCTTCAATAAAAGATCAATTAATTAAAAAAATATACACAGCTTCATTAAAAGAGGTTAGGAGAACAATTTTATGAGTAAAACATACTGGTTTGTTGAGCCATTATCGGTTCTAAGTCTTAGGCAGAACTGACCTGAAGAAAGAGTTTAAGGTAAATACATAGCTCATTAACACAGCTTAAGAAAAAATTTCCATAAGAAAAATCACATTGGTTAGCTCAAGGTTTGAGAAAAGTTAAGTTCAGGTGGAACCAGGTGTCATCATGGCAACACAGAATTTTAAAAGAAACTTCCTTTTAATTTTGTATAGAGAAGGGAAAAATCTGACACTTGTAGTTTGTTTCCTGCGGCTGCTTAAGACAGGGATAAAAACGTCTGACACTTGCAACTGATTTCCTCCGTTTGGAGACCCCTAGCCTTCTGCCAGTTCCTCTCTCAGCTACCGCTGAGCAAGGAGGAAAGAGGAGAGGATCCGGGAGGGACACACACGGATTATAAAGTAATAGTAAAGTGTGTTCTTAAACCAGGTGATGGACACACACTGCATACTCTTCCTATCTTGTAAATATTTTATAAACAGTTTCCTTTTGTTGGTATATGTGTGTGTGCATGCTCAGTCGTGTCCAATTCTTTGTGACCTAATGAACTGTGGCCTGCCGAGCTCCCCTGTCCATGGAATTTTCCAGGCAAGAATACTGGAGCAGATTGCCATTTCCTCCTCCAGGGGATCTTCCTGACCCAGGTGTTCAATGTCTAACAAAAATAATCTCTAAGACAGTAGATTAAAGGTGAAAAACTCCACACGATTTTATCAAGATGCTGAAAAGCCATCTGACAACTGGGGACACTGATGGAGGCCGCACAGCCCACATTTCAGTCTGTGTAACTGGCGCCCCCTGGTGCTCAACAGACAAGACTGGCAACCCCGGTTTCAGCCCAGTTTAAAAAACCATCCCAAGGTTTTTAACAAAAACAGAAACTCCACACTTTAAAAGACCAGTCACCAACAGACAATATTCTGCTCAACTCCAACATGAATTTCCATCCTCATCAACAAAAAGATTTGAATAATTAGTTATGCAACACTGTTTCAGAGGTTCAGCAATTAAAACGGCACACTGGCAAATCTGCACATTTGATTTATAAAATATGGGTTTTATTTTTAAAACTACCAGAGTTCATAATATAGAAAATAAATTATGTTAAACAATTTGATTTTTACATATTAATAACCAAGAATAGAAATGGGGAAGAAAATTGCATTCACAACAGTGATTATATAGGAATAAAATGAGAAAGTTACAGAACCCGTATGAAGAAATAGTAAAATCTTATTAGAACATGTAAAGGATTCAAACAAATGGAAAACCATTTCATATCATCTAGGGAAATTTAAAATCATAAAAATATCAACCCTCCCCTTAACTTACATCTAAATTTAGCACAATTTGTAATTTAAATCCCAATGGAACTTGGTTGGGGGTGCGCAGGAATGGAAGAAAATTGGACAACCGTGATTTTAAATTTCATGTGAGAAGAAATTCTAAGAATAGTCTGGAAAAATATTTTAATAAGAAAAACAGCAAGGAAGATTGATCCATGTATATGCTGATGATGCCTCCAATGTTCGTTTCACCAAGAACCTCACCCTTCGCATCGGAATCACCTGTCCAGCAGGTAACACGAAGTCTCCACTGATACATGTAAGCATCACCTCAAGCCTAGCAAGTTGGAAACTAAATAGAATGAAATATAAATAAGGGCCAACGTGGGTCATTAATAAATGAGACTGGGACTTCCCCAGTGATCCAGCAATTTAAGAAACTGCCTGACAATGTAGGGCACACAGGTTCGAATCCTGGTTCAGGACCTAAGATTTCACATGTCTTGGGGCAACTAAGCCCAGTGCGCCACGACCACTGAGCCCACCAGCGGGCAACTACCGAAGACCCAGCACCCATTCTGCACAACAAGAGAAGCCACCACAATGAGAGGCTGGCGCACCGCTACCATACAGAGTAGGCCCCACTGTCAGAACTAAAGAAAGCTTGCGTGCACCAACCAAGAGGCCTCAACAGATCCAGCATAGCCAAAAAAAAAAAATGGGTCTGGCATAAGTGAATTTCCATCTGGAAAAACCAAAACCAAATTTGACTCCTGCCTTACCGCTGATACTAAAATATTTCCCACACGGAGGGGAGACACAGAAAAGAACTTTAAAACAGTGCGAGAAAATACAAGAGAATTGGGTAGAGGGGGAAGAGATCTCTTAAACGTGAGAGGAAACCCCAAAACCTTTCAAGAAACACCACAAACCAAGCCTAGCACAGATAAATCCCATGGACAGGGGAGCCTGGCAGGCTACAGTCCATGGGGTCTCAAGAGTTGGTTTGGACACGACTGAACGACTAAACCGCGAGCACAGATAAACCAGCAGAAAAAATAGAAGTTGTGAGCTGAAGCTATGAAAGACAAGAGGCCTCAGGTTGTGAGAGGCTTAGGCCTCAAGTTTTAAGAGGCCTACAGAGGGCTGGGCCTTCAGGGGAAACTACCAGGATAAGATACGTAACACAATGCAGCTTCCCTTGTGGGTTGTCCGTCTTGCAGATGTAAAAGCACCACACCATTAAGGACATTCATACAAAAAAGCTTTCTGTAAGCCACAAGAGTTGGAAAACAACCAGGGGAAAAGTTTCACCTGTGTCCAGGGTGAATATGCGGACTCCGGCGGCGGGGGAAGGGGGTATTCCCAATGCCTTCCACGGGCCCTAGGGTGTGAGACCCTCGAGGCCTCAGTCCCCAAGGCGGGCCTCACACAGCCGGGTTTGACCGCCTCGCCACAGACGCCAGCACATCTGACTCGGGCAAGTCGGGGGGGTGGGGTGGGGGGCTCGTGATGTTTCTAAGGCGCATGCGCATGGCGTGGAGCAATCGCCGGCGTCAGCGCCACGCACGCGCCAGGCGTCAGCGCCACGCACGGACAGTTGCACATCTGCCTCGAGACTGGGAGAGGGTACCGTTGTGGGGTGGGGGTTGCTTCTCCCGAAACCGTTTGTGACCTCGAAGAAGGCAGGCTCCCGGATGGGTGTGAGCGTTGGACACCCTAAAAGCCACTGGAGAGTGATGGCCGAGGGCCGGGACCAGGTGAGTTGAGTTGCAGCCAGTATTAGGGCTCATGCTGTGTTGTAGTTGATGATTTTGCGTGAGAAACTCCTTGACTATCTCCCTGAGTTTGCTCAAACTGTCCACTGAGTCGGTGATGCCATTCATCTCATCCTCTGTCGTCCCCTTCTCCTCTTGCCCTCAGTCTTTCCCAGCATCAGGGGCTTTTCCAATGAGTTGGCTCTTCACACCAGGTGGCCAGAGTATTGGAGCTTCAGCTTCAGCATCAGTCCTTTCAATGAACATTCAGGGTTGATTTCCTTTAGGATTGACTGGTTTGATCTTGTTGTCCAAGGGACTCTGAAGAATCTTCTCCAGCACCACAGTTCAAAAGCATCGCTTCTTCAGTGTTTAGTCTTTTTTATGGTCCGACTGCCACATCTTTATGTGACTACTGGAAAAAACCATTTGCTTTGACTAGATGAACCTTTGTCAGCACAGTGGTGTCTCTGCTTTTAATATGCTGTCTAGGTTTATCATAGCTTTTATTCCAAAGAACAAGCGTCTTAATTTCATGGCTGCAGTCAACGTCTGCAGTGATTCTGGACCCCATGAAAATAAAATCTGTCATTGTTTCCACTATTTCCCGTTCTAATTGCCGTGAAGTGATGGGACTGGATGCCATGACCTTCATTTTTTGAATAGTGAGTATTAAGCCAGCTTTTTCACTCTCCTCTTTAACTTTCATCAAGAGGCTCTTTAGTTCCTCTTCGTGTTCTGCCATTAAACAGTATCATTTGCATATCTGAGGTTGTTGATACTTCTCCTGGCAGTCTTGATTCCTTCCAGCTTGTGATTCTTCCAGCCCAGCATTTCTGATGATGTACTCTGCATATAAGTTAAATAAGCAGGGTGACAATATTAGTCTTGATATACTCCTTTCCCAATTTTGAACCAGTCTGTTGTTCCATGTCTGGTTCTAACTGTTGCTTCTTGTCCTGCATACAGGTTTCTCAGGAGACAGTTAAGGTGGTGTGGTATTCCCATCTCGAAGAATTTTCCAGTTTGTTGTGATCAACAGTCAAAGGTTTTAGCTTAGTCAATGAAGTAGTAGATGTTTTCTTGGAATTCCCTTTTTCAATGATCCAGTGGATGTTGGCAATTTGATCTCTGGTTCCATTGTTTTCTAAATCCAGCTGTACGTCTGGAATTTCTAGGTTCACCGTACTGCTGAAGCCTAGCTTGAAGGATTTTGAGCATAATTTTGCTAACATATGAAATGTGCAAATGTACAGAAATTTGAACGTTCTTTGGCATTGCCCTTCTTTGGGATTGGAATGAAAACTGTGGCCACTGCTGAGTTTTCCAAATTTGCTGTCATATTGAGTGCAGCATTTTCACAGCATCATCTTTTAGGATTTGAAATAGCTCAGCTGGAATTCCATCACCTCCAGCTTTGTTTGTAGTAATGCTTCCTAGGACCCACTTGACTTCACACTCCAGGATGTCTGGTTCTAGGTTATCGGGGTCCTTAAGATGTTTTGTGTACAGTTCTGTGTATTTCTTGCCACCTCTTCTTAATTTCTTCTGCTTTTGTTAGGTCCTTGACATTTCTGTCCTTTATTGTGCCCATCTTTGCATGAAATCTTCCCTTGGTAGCTCTAATTTTCTTAAAGAGATCTCTGTAGTCTTTCCCAGTCTGTTGTTTTCCTCTCACTTGAGGCTTTCTTGTCTCTCCTTGCTATGAGACCAGTTCAGTTATTTGCCACCTCTGTGGGCCTCTGGATAAATTTCTGGTGAATTCAGCTTGGTAAGTCAGCAAACTTATACTGTCATCCAACTCTTTTTAGAGAAGGGGAACCCAGAATGGGCAGTGATTTGTCTGACACCTTGTGCAACTGAAAGGTTTCTGCAGGATCCATCAGGAGTCCTAGTTGGGGCTAGCACATTGCAAGTTACTAGATGAAAACTGCCAGGCTGAAACACAGGCTGGCAACATTCTGGCTCAATGCTGAGTGGGAGGTCCCTCACCAAACTCTTTCTCTGTCCAGTCTGTCTTGCTCATTATGGAGAGGGTGCCTCCAGCAGTGTTGAGGGCAGTCAGAGCCCTGAAGTGTGGCAGCAGAGAAGGCATATTCTTCTGTAACTCTGCCTCCCGTGGCCAAGCTGCCTGTCCACTTTCTTAGGTAATATGGCCCTTCCGAAGGAAGCCTCAGAGGTTCCATCTGCAAAAAAGGGCAGAACCCGCCAGTGGAATTCTGAAGATGTTTTAGGTATCTTGGCAGTTGCCAACAGGTCCCTTACAGTCTGGTCCACCTGCAGGACAGCCTTTCACTGGGGACGAGTAGCCAGTGGCGGCACCACCCACTCAGGCCAAACCTGTGTTCTATGTAAAAGGCACAGAAGTTTGAACTTTATCTGTCTCACACTTGTTGGTCCAGAGAGCCATGAACTCTTGCCCAACACTGCTTGATCCACAGATCTTAAAGACAGTCATGTCTTCAAGGGGACCTGGACCCAACAAGAGAAGCCAGAAGGCAGTATCACTCAAGACACATGCAGGAGAAACAAAAGTTTCTCTCATCCTGTTATTAATCCATTGCCTTCCTTTGGTAAACAATGCCAAACCCTTGTCTTCTAGTAATATGGTATCGATGTGGGGTTTTTAATGCTAAATCCATGGGACACTTAGGGGCTGAAGGGGTGGTATAAGGTGGACATTTCCCAGAAAACTCACCCCTTGTTTTTCATCTGATTTTGATGGTCAGTATCTAAGTCATGTCCAACTCTTTGCAATGCCATGGACTGCAGCATTACAGGTTTCCCTGTCCTTCACCATCTCCCAGAGTTTACTCAAACTTATGTTCATTGAGTCGGTGATGCCATCCAACCATCTCATCCTCTGTTGTCCCCTTTTCCTCCTGCCTTCAATCTTTCCCAGCATCAGGGTCTCTTCTAATGAGTTGACTCTTCCAATCAGGTGGCCAATTGTTGGAGCTTCAGCTTCAGCATCAATCCTTTCAGTGAATATTCAGGGTTGATTTCTTTTAGGATTGACTGGTTTGATCTCCTTGGTGTAAGTCCCTAACCCAAGACTCAGAACTACAGGCCTGTCCCAGAAAGAAACACATGATTGATCTCACATAAATTCACTCAGACCAAATCAAAAATCCATAGGCTTTTCACCTTTCAGATTAAGATGGAAGAGACTGCAGACAGGCAAGGAGGGGGGTGAGGAATACACTGTTGGTGGGGATTGAAATTGTGAAGTCTTTTCTGGAATGCCTCCACCTTCTGACACAGACATTTCTCTCTGGAATTCATCCAAATAAACACAGATCTAAGTACACACAGATAGTCATCACAGGATTTTTTGTAAACATTAAAAACCTAAATGTCTATAAATGGGACCAGTGATTAACAGTACATCCAAGACAATGAAATGCTATGTGGTTGTTAGGATAAAGTAGACCCATGTGAACTCTTCAGAGACAAGTCCCAAGATCTACTAAGTGAGAAACAGGCAGAACAGAGGAGAAGTGTATTTGCTCAGAACGGATGCTCTTTTTAGGGAGAAAAGAGCACAGGGGGGCTGGGGGAGGCAGGGGGCTTGCTTTCATGGTCCAGCCTTTTATACCGTTTGAATTTTTATCATGTGCATGTGTCACCTGAAAAAAAACAAAAAACAAAAAATATTCCTCCTCCTCCATAAAAATAGGTTGCTGCACTCATTCACCTTTTTGCAGCAGACCTTCCAGACCATCCTCTTCTTCCCAAGTTGTTAGACAATTCCAAGCACTTAATTACCCAGTTTAGGAAAAGGGGAGTTCCTGCATCTTATCTTCCTGCCCAGAATGGCAAAGCTCTGCCTGGAAGCAGGCTGTGTTCAGCACCGCTGTGGTTGGATGTAAACAGCAAAGTAGGAACACCTAGAAGTTGAAGCTAAAACATTTAGGAAATTCAGTATGTCAGTTTCTGTGAGTGTCAAAGATGGTGAAGACATAAGACAATGAAGATGGAGATGAGGAAGAACTTGAAGACAGCTAAAGCCACAGTGGTGGGAAGAATGAAGAGGAGGAAAGTGCTGGTTTTTACTAGAAGAAAACAGACTGAGTTCAGGAGTCTCGCCAGTAAAAGTTTATAGTATTGCATTTTGATTACAGGTGTGTAAATAAAAACCTTGAGTATTACCCTCTGGTGAAAATGCAGAATCAGCTTCCATCTAGACTAAAACAGAAAGTTTGGGGACAAAAATGGATCATATGCTGCCTGTGATGAAGAGAATGAGCTGGACAGGATAGGAACCACCAGCTCAAGAAACCCCAAAAGTCTTGGAGAATCTTCTGAGGAAGAGGTCAGGGCCTCCCTGGTATTTCTCTGAAACAGCCCTTGCCCAGGGGTGTGGTTTTGAGAAGTCCCAAGCCCACAAATCACAGGCACTTCTGGCCATGTGCACAAGTGGGCGAAGACCTCAATTCCCCTGCGGCCTGCCTCCCTCGCCCTTCTTCCCCGTCTCCTGCAGTCTTCACGGGGCGGCACGTGGCCACTGCTGAGCAGGTGGGCAGACGCTGGAAACACACCAAGGTCAGAATTGCAGACCAGTGGGGCAAGATCATGGTTCTTGTGGCTCCAGAAAACCCGAAGTCCCCAAATAAAGGGGAGTAAGGAGTGAGTTGGGGGAAATCGAACCAGAACTTTTCCATTGGCCATTATAGAAAACTCGGCAACTCTGGCCTTGGTCTTTGACCCTGAGTTGTTTGAGGACCACAGCATGCGAGGCCGTGACCAGGCAGAGGAAGGCGTGGCGCGCCCGCTGCAGAGCTGTCTGTGCAGTTCCTGCGGGCCCAGGGCTTGGTGACCTCTCCTCCCGTCTGCCGCAGACCGGACGCCTGGACAGGGCGTGGGGGGTCAACAGAGGGGAAGCGGTGAGAGCAGCAGCCCTCCCCAGGACCCTGCCACAGCATGGTGCTCCTTCACACACAAGGTTCCTAAGGGGACTCCTTTGGAATGCAAATGATGTGTTACCCAGGTCAGCAGTCTGACCAGTCAGACCTGTCCATGCCTTGACCTGGACTCAAGTTTTTGTGGCAGGAAACCTCACCATCTACTGCTATCTAAGGAAATGTCCAGCAAGGAGAATTTAGGTGGTGGATGGGGAAGCTGAACAGGAGGATCTTTCTTCCCCAAGCTGACTGACCATTTGGACCACCACTCACCTCCGACCTGAGGCAGGAGCCGCGAGGCAGGAAGGTCCTCAGCACCAAGCCCCCTGCCGATCGAAGCCCCACGGAGATCCCCTGGATCGGAGCTCCTGGGGGAGCACCAGATGGGAAGAGTCCTGTCCCTCCCCCAGCCCTGCCCCTGGAGCCCCTCCAACTTCCAAACGGCTCTGGAATTCACCACACCTTGAGGAGCCAGGAGCCAAGAGAAGAAACTCAAGATTTGGCATCCTAGTTCTGTCATTTGCCCAAGAGTCACCAAAAAAAATGTATGGTCTCACAGCAGGCACAGCATGTTGTTTCTTTCAAAAAATAAATATTTATAAACTTAGGGTGGAGGATTCAAAGAATCAAGAGTCTCTTTCCCACCAAAAGCACAAATATCCCATGAGTCAAACCAAGGTAAGTCCATCAACCCAAAAATGAAACGCCACCCTCAGGAGCTCTGCCTTGAGGGGCAGGGGAGCTGATCTCTGGCTCCGGGCCCTAGTCCCCCTTGGTGATCAGGTCCTCGATGTAGGCATCCAGCTCGTCGTCTGTGTTAATGTCTATGTCCTGGAACAGAGCAGGGCAGGGTCAGCCGGGGCTCACAGGGTGGTGGGAGGCCCGCCTCCCCAGCCTTCTTGCAGCCCAGGCCATGCCCTCTGCTCTCCCCCTCCACCCTGTTAGGCCATCCTTCTTGATCATTCATCCCCTCCCCGTCCTCCGACTCCTGCCCGCCTCCCCGCACCCAGGTCCCGCCTGCCCCAGCCTCACTCTTAGACTCAACACATCCAACAGCTCGGTACCACCACCCACCCCGGGTTGTTCCCGTCTCAGTACAGGGCCCCCCACCTTCCCTCTACTCAGGGACTCAGACAGACTAGAAGAGTCATCCTTGTTTCCTCCCCTCCCCTCAGACACCTCTCTCCCTCCTCACTGGCACCATCCAAGGCTCAGGCCTCCAGAATCTCTCACCCAGATAACTGGGAACCTCCTCAGTGGAGTCCTGGACTCTAACCTCGGCCCCTCCTACAACCAACCAAAGTAAACGTCTTAGGCTGCACGCGTCCCCGCGCCACACGGTCCAGGGACCTCCCACCTGGTACAAGGCCCTGCCGTGGGCCCTGCTCTTCCCTCTGCCCACAGCTCACACCCCACCCCAGCACGACTGCTTCTGCCTTCAGCTCAAACCCCTGCTCACAGAGGCGCCCCTGACACTAGTACAGCGGCTTCCTGTTGCTCTCCTGCTTCCTTCGTGGCACTCCCGCCATCGACAGCTCTGTCTCCTGGCCCTGCTGTGCTATAAGCGCAGGGCCCCTACTGGTCACCAGGGGGCACAGGACAGGGTCCCCATTTTCCTGCCCAGATGAAGGGCTGAGGCCACAGGACACTCCCCGCTTGTGGGCTACCCACTCCCATCCAGGCGTCATCTGGAAAACCAAGAATGTCTTTGTCTCATGACTCCAAGGTGTCTCAAACCAGGTTGCAGGTCACCATGTCTAAACAAGGGCAAAAGTCTGATACCGTGGGGTCTGGCTGGGATGAGGCCCAGGCAGCCGTACCACCTCCAGCCCTCCTGGTCAGGATGCTGTGCCGCCAGGGATGGAACCACAGATTCCTGTGAGTGGGGAGAAGGGAGCACGAGGTGCCCAGGCCCCCCTCCCGAGACACCAGGTAGTCCGCTGCAATGAGAGGGCGGCCTGGCTCACCTCCTGCACCTTTTGCAGGAGTGCCACGATGTTGGTCCTCAGCTTCTGCAGCTTCTCCTCCGTCTCACGCAGCTTTCTCTCGGAGGTGCGCAGGCTCTCCTCAGAAGCCTTGGCCCGCGAGTCGGCGCGGCTCTGGTAGGAGTGGCACAGGTTCTGCAGCCCGACCTCATACTGCCTGAAGTACTCTTTCTGTCGGAGGAGAAGCCAGCGGTAAGTGCATGGCCTCACAGGTCCCCAGGGCCCTTCCAGACGGGCACTGGTGTCCCCAGCTGGCTCGGCACCGGGAAGCTTGGTCTGAATGGGTATCAAACCCAGGAGCCAGTGTCTCTGCAGCTCCAGAGAGGAAAGACCTTGAGGCCCACCTCACAGGGCGGCCTCAAGGGTGGAGATGGGATCACACACAGGAAGCACTTGGCAAAGAGCTCTGCAAACCGCAAGCCGTGAGTAAACATGAGGGATGATCCTCACCATTCTGCTTTCTAACTTCACAACAGCACTTCTGAACAATCCACATCCAAGTCACACCCAACAAGTATGTATCAAGCTCCTATCGATAGCAGATACCCCATGTTTGTGTAGTATATTTACACAGCATAGAACTTTTTGCCATCTTCTCCAAACACCTGAAACTTCCCAGTGGTGGGGACAGCTTCTCTAGACATGAGGCTTTTCAAAGTAGTAGAACACTTGTTTTGAGTGAAAGTTACATGGAATCTCAATATGAAAAACAATTTAGGTATTATCTCTTTATGTTCAAGGTTATTATGATTTACTCATGAATCACCAGTGAGAATGAAAAGGCCATTTTGATGAACACAAGCCTAGAACCCACAGTCTGGCTGACCACCACAGTCTCACCAACTATAGCATTTGTTTACTTCTGTGAAGACTATGAGCTACCTAGCACTGAATAGTTCCTTTAAAACATGTTAGAACTATTTAATTATTTACAACCTAGAATACTATCCTAGTAAGTCAAGATGGCAACAGAAACTTCAAGTTCTGCACATAAAGAAATTATCACTTGATGGCTCAAAATAAATGTTGAAGCAGATGCCAAGCATATTAAAATTTAACATACAACGTCATGAGCCTAACTATGATTCCTCTATGTTTTTTAAATTTTTTCACTTTTAAGCCATTACAGATTTACATGCAGTTATGCTCCTTTTAAAGTACATATTTGAATCTAGTATTTGCAGGGCACCTGAGGGTTTCATGGACCTCCTTCCCAGCATGATGAGAAGTAGGAGGGTCATTTACAAACTGACACAGACACAATGAACTTTAGAGTTCTGGTGTGTCCCTAACATGAAAAGAATGAAAGTTTGAGTTATTTTAGGCATTTCCCTTAGGAGGCGATTAAGCTGGTACATTAGTGGTGCCTCCTTTCACAAGTGTGAGCCAAAGGACTATTTCAGGCTCAGACACTCCTGTTGACCACGCTTTGGCCTGGGTCATGCCCACTGGAGAAATCCCACTGCACCCAGGCTTTGCTCTGAATTTGGCAACAGCCTGAAGCCAAAAGGAACAAAGCTGACAAGAGGACGGCAAGCCAACCCAGCTGGCCCACCAGCAGTTTGCTCCTAGGACCTGCAGAGGACGCCTGCAGCCTAAACAAGGGCAAGCACTGAGGCGGAGCAGCTTCCTGGGAACCCGTCGCCCTGGAGAGAAGACCCTGGTCCTCTCAAGGTGTTCTGGGTTCAAATCTTGGCTCTATCATAGCAGACTGGTAACCTCTCTGAGCCTGAGTTTCTTCAACTCCTAGCCTCATTTCCTTTAAGCGGAATGGAGATAAGACTACATGCCTTTCTCTCTGACAGACTTTATGGAGCACACAACTGAGAACTGGCAGTCACAACAAGCACCACAGTGGGTGGGCAGACTCACCAGAGGAAACGATATCAGCTCATCTGAATTCATAGCACTCAGCTCCTTCTTAGAGATGGGGAAACTTGGAGGCAGGAAGTACCGTAGACAATTCCTAAACAAGAAGGAAGGTGGGACAGGAAATCAGAATAGCACAGAGTTGGTGGGGAGCCACCACTGGTCCCAGAGCAGGACAATAACACACCGAAGAATCTGGACGAGGAGGTCAATGGTCTCGTGGTTGGTGCTGGGGGCGGTGGTGTCAGGTTCGATGGGGATGCAGTCTGAGGTGGAGGGCTCTGCCGTGGCTGCAGCCTGCTGGGCCACCGAGTCCCCTGCCGGGGCCACCGCCGCCACCGCCGCCACCACCTCTTCCCTGCCCTCCTGACGTGTGTCCGGGCTCTGATGCTCTGGGGACGGGGGCTTCATCAACCGCACGTCCTCGCTGCCTCTCTCCACCCTAGGGAGAACCCAGAGATTGTCACGCGTGTTCCAGGCTCCCAAACGGGCTGCCTGCCCCCGCCCTGGCCAACTGTCAACCCATCTTCCCGGAAGGGGTGTTACCAGCGGTCTCTTGGTGTTGTGTCCGTGGGCACATAGTCAAATTTCACCTTCCACCGCACCGCATTCTTGCCCACCTCCACAGCTGTGACACGGCCTGTGTACCACTCCCTATTCACACGCACCTCCACGTGCAGCCCTTTATCTGAGAGTGGGAGCAGGACTGGAGTCAGAATATTGGATGGACTAGAGCCCCCCACCTAGCCAGGGCCACCCAGGTTCACAGGGACAAGAATCCCTACAAATTGATCCCACCACGCCAGGGACGTGGAGCCCAGCCACCCTGGCCTCCTTCCCCACTTCCCCTCACGAGGTGCCACAGAGCAGCAGGATGACTGATGGCCAGAGGTGAACACCAAGGAACTGATGCTAAAAATAAACATGAGGGTGTGCTATCCTCAGAATGCTTCTCCGAATTAACACTTGAAACCACTGTTGGATGAGAGCCCAGAGTCAACAAAGCCTCCAGGAGCCTTCGCAATGAAGTGCCGCTGACCAAGGGACCCTTTCCCACTGCCCCAGAGGCTCCAGGTACCTCCTAAACTTACCTTTCTGAGCACTCTTGAGGTCAGCCGAGTCCTCTTCCCCAGAGCTGTCTGAGAGCTGCAAGGACAGTCTGTTAGAGACACCGCCAGCTGCAGAGCAGACCGTCCGCCCGGGGTCATCTCATGCCACCTTAGGCAGCCTTTTAAATGCCCAAGCTTCATGGAGAGCTACTCTCTCAACCACTGTCTCAGTATCTACACACCTGCCTCCAAAAACCCCGAACGACAGAGCAGACACAGGGCAGAACGGCACAGGTCTGCATGGGCGTCAGCTGAGGCCTGTGAGCAGGGCCACCGTCCGCCCCAAGACCCTCCCGGGCACTGTGCTTCTAGTCGTGTGTGTGCCTGCAAGCCCCTCAGAGCGGGGCTGGGCCTCTGGTCAGTGCGTGTCACAGCCTGCAGGGGCGGGCACAGACCCCGGGCGCCAGGAGGCTGAGGACCTACCTCATTCAGGTCCTTCTTCTCCTCCTTCACAGCAAACTTGCCCCTCTTGGACCTCTCCTTCCTCTTCTCAGCCTCTTCCTCTGTTTCTTCCTCATCAGAGACCCCGAGGCTCCGCTTCCGACCAGGAGTGGCCTGCTGCAAAAGCAGCAGGAATGTGAGGGACTCTTTCAGCCCCTCAGGTGCTGGAAGAGCCATGTGGCCTAAAGGAGCCACTCAGAGAGGGGCCTGTGGGTCTCTGTGTCCACCAGGGCTGGGCACCCAACACAACAAGGGACATGGTAACGCCCACGAGGCCCAGCCCCCACAAGGACCTCTGCTCAGAGCTGCGGCCGCAGGGGCCTCTCGGCTCACACCTCACTGAGCCACACCCGCCACTGCTGCCCCCAGCAGGAGAAGCCAGTGGAGGTGACTCGGGTCTCGGGGGTACCAAACCTCGGAGGGGTACCAGAGAACTTCCTGGACAGTGGACCAACAAGCTCCGTGCCCCCTCCGAGTACCTGTGATCCTTCTCCTGCTGCAGGGGCAGCAGGGAAGCCAGATTTCCACCAAGCACCGCCCCATGCCACCAGCACTGCCCCTCCACTCCCGTACCACCGTGGGTGGCGCTGGGGGAGCAGCTGCAGCTCACCGGGGAGAGTTTAGCGGGCAGCTCTGGCTTCTTGACCACTGGAGTCTTCAGGGCTCGGGGGGAAGGGACCTCCCGAGGGCTCCTGGAGTTGGGCTGGGGAGATGGCAACGGTGGCTGCACCGGTGGGCTGGGCCAGGACGCAGGCCTAACTGGAGTGTTGGCAGGCTTCCGGGGTGCCTCGGGAGGCTGGAGTAGCCGGGAAGTGCTGGCCACCTCCCGGGCGGCCGGGGCAGCAGGCTTTGGGGTGCTACTGATGACAGGAGCCTTTCTGGGCTGGCTGGCTGGCCTGGGAGCTTGAAGGGAAGGGGGTCTGCTCGGGGCATTCTTGATCACAGCGGGTAAAGGAGGCGACCGAGGACGCTGAGGTCTACGTGCAGGTTCCTGAAAGAGGCTCAGAGAGTGAGAATACCAGTCCCAGCACGAGACACCCAAGAAGAGCCCCTGCTACCCCAGGGCTTCACCTCAGAGGAAGGTCTGGTGGTCACTTCCAAGGGCAGTTTCTTCAGGTCAGCCTGGGAGCGAATGGGTGTGGTTTTCTGCAGGGTAAACAGGATGAGGAGGTGGTTTGTGTATCTGGTGCTTGGAAGTCAACTCTTTTTGGAGCCCCCTCTATCTGGGACAGTGGGCAAATAAAGACCATCTGGACCACAGTCCTACTATTACAAGCCTCCCATTCTCACTGAGAAGACAAACTCACAGACAGTAAACCACCAGCAAACTACAGGATTCTACATGATTATTCCAGCAATCAAGAGACTGGGGAAAAGTATCAATGGGCTAAATTCCTACAAAGCAAGTCAAAAGAGGGGAGATCCCTCGTGGACAAGGCCAGAAAGCACCCAGGGGACCGGCAGACGGAGGCGCGCTGCGACGCGGGGCCTGCCTGACCGGAGCCAGAGGAGGACGCTCTTCCAATAAACACGATGGAGGTCGAGGCCACACATGCGTCCTAACCCTGACTAATCACTTAAGGAAAAACAGTTCTTTAAAAATGAAAAAAAAATGGTTCAATTTTAGAAGTATGAAATTCAAATTATAAGATGTATATCTTTTTTCAAATTTTCAAGAACATTTAAAAAGTACTTGTATTAAAAAAAAAACCTAAGATATAATACATCTTCTGGAAGATAACTTGGAAATAAACAAATCCACAGAATTTTAAAAATCCTTTTGCTCTTTCAAATTCACTTCTGGAAAACTATCCTAAAAAATTAGGCATTAAAAAAAAAAGTATGTGTGATATGACACAAAAATCATGATCTCCATATTTCTAATAAAAAATACATGTATTTATGCTAGTGGTCATAAAAAAGCTGGATATGAAGTTAATGGTGGTTACCTCTAAAATAGGATAGTTCCTGGAGTTTCAAAACATTCCAAATGAATTGGATCTCTTTGTAATATACGAATTTTTTTTTTAAGAATAATCAAGGCATAGGGGAAAGGGGTGTTGGGAAGCTCGGGCACTGCTTATGGGTTTTTTCAAAAGGAGGGTGAAACTGAGCCCCAGGGAAGAAAGGAGCACTGAGGGGCCCGCCCACCTGCCCACTCACCTGCAGGGCCTCCAGCTTCTCCTGCTGCTGGCGGATTTTCTGCGTCAGCTGCTTCTGCCGCTCCTCCTGTGTCTTCGGGTCTTTTCTCAGTGCCCCCAGGGGGAGCTTCTGCTTCTGCTCAGAGGCCTCGCACCTGTGGAGACGTAGCGCTAGAGAAGGCGCGGCAACCGGCTCCAGGCAGCGCAGGGCCCTTCCTCCTCCGCCAGCCCGTGCTCTCTCTCATCAGAGCGACCTCAGACCTCCCAAATGCACAGGATTAATACTCACGCAGGACACGGTTCTGCTTCTATCTCCAGGCACTTAGTATGCACGGCAAGACAGAGATGTAGTAAGGATAGAGCAGTGACTTCAAGAAGCAGAGTGGAAGGGTGGAGAAAGCTCAGGGGGTGCGGGGGGATGCCCACAAACGCCTTGTTAGAAAAAGCGCTCACCGGTCCTGCTCAGGATCAGGGTTCATGGAGCAAACCCAAGTGTCAGGGTAATCCCTCTCCACAGAATTCAGCTGAAAGGGGAGTGTCCGCCACTTCAGACACAGATCTGTGACCAAAAAAACACCCCCAAGCGTCAGCCATGCCCACCAATAACCGTCAGGCTCCTCCCAGCCAGGCCCAAGGCAGAGATGCCCCTGACTGTCCGTGCAAAGATCTTCAGCCTGGCTCCACCTCTGCCTTCCTAACAGAACAGTCACTCTTACCAGGGACAGTGATTCCAGCAAGGATGGAAACTTTATTCATACACCCTCAGCAGCCCCAGCCCTCTCCTCCTTCCAGCAGCATCCTGGCTCAGTCATCACTCACACTTCTACCCATGTGGTATCAAACTGGGTTAGATGACCTCCTGCCTCGTTCAGGAGGAACACCTGGTCACGGCACAGTCCCAAGACTGAGTTCCCAGGGCCCTCACCAGACAGACTGGTATACCCAGGGAGACAAAAGTCCCTGAATGTCGGTGCGGTGAGACCAGCATGGAACCACGATGGAAAGGAGCTGGGAAGAGGTGCTGCGTGACACCCAACTCACCACACTGGATGGTGGTTGGGATCTCCATGGATCGCCGCCGCTTGTAGCGCAGCTCACTGGATGGGGGTTGGTTCCAGTTGGCAGAGAGGTAGCCAAACTCATCCCAGAACTTGATGATTCCCCGCTGGGCTGGAAAGCAAACGCCCACGTGTCGAGTAAGGACGCAGGCCCTCAGACAGGGAGGACCCCCGGCTGGCAGGGAGGAGCATGGCGTTACCAATGGCGATGTCCTTCCAGTACTGTGCCAGGTGCTCCCCCATGGCCCGCAGCAGGTGCCGGTACTCCTTGGCGTCCGCAAAGTCCTGCTTGTTGTGTGTGGGCTCCAGGACCAGGTAGGGCACATCGACGACCCCAACAACCCCACCACACGCCCTATAGGAGACGGAGGAAGACACCGTGGTCACCCACTGGCCAAAGCCCTCCCACCACCTGTCCACGCTGAAGCCCTCCCTGGCAGCACTCACATGCCACCTTCCAGCTGTGGGCCCACTTTCTCATACATCTTGATCAGGCGGCTACAGTTGTAGATGAACATTCCATCCAGGTCCCGGTGTTCGATATTGACCCCGAAAACAAAGTTCAGTTCCTTAGGTTCTTTAAGTGCTCTAAGAAGGCGAAAGATAAATTCAAGCAGATCAACCCCTTAACACACACCATAGTGCTTACGACTAGGCTGAAACTTGAGACACTTAGAAGTTTTGCCTTTGCATTCAATATGCAACCTGTTAAGACTCAGTAAGGATACGCACTGTGCAGTCACTCTTAGTTCCCCCTAATTAAAAGCAAATGACCCTGGCTTTTGGCATCAAACAGGAATGGATTTAAGAATGAAGCGGATTCTGTGAAAATGCTGCAAATCTGTACAAAGATAGCTGTACTTTGGAATGAACACAAGGTAATCTGCAAATAGCAGAGAATCCACCTGCAATGTGGGAGACTTGGGTTTGATCCCTGGGTTGGGAAGATCCCCTGGAGAAGGGAATGGCAACCCACTCCAGTATTCTTGCCTGGAGAATTCCATGGACAGAGGAGCCTGGTGAGATACAGTTCATGGGGTTGCAGAGTCAGACACAACTGAGTGACTAACACTTTCACTACAATCTGCATAAACACTCCACCAATGTGACAGTGATTAATTTTAGAGAGACAAAAATTCACAAGAACAATGAACACGTGAGAGAAGAAACATCTATCATGGGATGTTAACAAAATCAAGGAAACTGAAAAGGAGATAGACAACCAGTGGATGGACTCACAGGACAGAAACTGGACACCTACGCCTGTGGTGAGGAGGTCAAGAAGCAAGCAGGAACTCACGCCCAGAGCCTGCAGAGGCTCCAGACGTGCAGGCAGACACAGAGATCATGTGATGAGCATGACAAATGCCCAGTTTAGATGAAAAGGAACAAACTAAACCTATAGCATTATTCTATATCTGTAACCAGGGATAAAAATTAAGAGTCGGTATCACCAAGTGGGAGACCAGTTTATAAGGAAGTTTATAATTTATAAACATATAATTTTATACATAAATTATATAAATTTATATAATTTACAAGGAAGTTTACAATTGTATTCCTTACACATTCTATATTTTACAAGTTGTATATGATAAGCAGTTTATCCATCCTTTCAATGAAAAGAAAAAGTAAAAAGGAAAGGAAGAGGGAAAGGACAGGGAAGGTGGGGAGAGAGCAGAGGTGAGAGAGGGAAGTGGGGAGGGAAGGTGAGACAGCGCCCATGAGGACAGGCTGGTGTTCCACTCAAGGTGCTGGTTCTGCCCGCCGAGTCCTGGCTCAGGAGGGAACTGAGCCAGGAACCCACCCTGGGAATCACAGCACTAAAGGCTTTCTCAAAGGAACCATGTGTGACAGAAGGCAACCTAGCAGGGTGAGGAGGGAGTCCTCGAGCTCTCTGTCAATCATCCACACAAAAGTACATGGTCATACAAGACCCGCGGGCAGCCGGGCACTCACCGCTGCTTAGCCTCCTTGATCCGCTTCTTGACGTCGGCTTCCCGGCGCAGAGTAATGGCTGTGTTCTGGACCTGTCGCAACATCACCTAGAGACACACGCCAGCACCAGATAAGGAGAGGAAGGCCTCTGGGCCACAGCAGGGAATGTCACACCAGGCCTAAACTGCTCACTTTGAATCATGTGGATGCCAAGACCAAACCTGGAAATTTAGCTCCTTTCTGCAGAAGAGGGCCCTCACCAGGGACAAGTTCAAAAGCTGTGCTTCATGTGACCAGAATTGCTGACATTAAGGGAACAACCCCAAACAAAGCCACAGTCTACGGAGGTGCATATGGCAGAGGAGGGGCAGAGAACTGCTTCGACCACTACTACTGTGTGTGACCTGGGCAACTGACCCTCTTCCATTTCCTTCTATGAACTGAGGATACTGTAACAATGTCCTCATGTGGTGAGGTGCCATGAGTGTGCAACAGTGACTATAGAAACATCAACATATCCCATTTTACATCTTTAGCGCAAGGGTTCGTGATTGGCAGGACATGGAGCCAAGTCAGCAACACTGGAGTCTCACCCTGGAGTCCCGCGTGAGATCCCCGCCCAGGCGCACTTCCAACGTCCGAGCTTTGCTCTCTGCCTCCCGTGCCTTCTCTTCAGCTGAAACCCAGAAGAAGAAACCATGATAAGAACGGAAAAAACAACAACAACAACAACAACAAAAAAAAACGCAACAGATCCAAACTCTTGATCAACCCCCTAGTGCGCAGTCCAGGAGCACGGAGTGCTGGAGCGCAGACCTGCTTGTACAGTCAAGGGGGCTGTGAGCAAAACAGACACGCTTTTCCAATTCCACAAACAAATCAGACAGATAAACAACTGCCTGAGGCAACAAAAATTAAACTCTCAGTAGGAGCTGGAAGTTACCAACGTCCTCAGCAAATCACTCTCTGCAAGCGGCCAAGAAGCTTTGCCAGCATGAGAGACCTTGAGATTTTTACCCTGGAGTCAAGAAAACCAATTTCATGAGTATCTGTGCCGGAGGCCAGTGTGGGATTCTTCGCTTTGGGCAGAGGAGCTGAGGAGTCAGTGCCGCTTCAGGTTTAAGTGCCTATAAATGCGTGAAGGAGCAGCCTGGGGAGAAAAACTGCTGAGGCGACTGAATGTGGAGGGGGTGCAAGAGGAACCAGGGCAGAGGTTCAGGATAGCCCACCCTGGGTGCTGGATGGAGCTTCTGCCGCAAGTCAGTCCCCAGACAACCCTGCCAACCCTCCTGCCCAGGCCTTCATTACCAATCCTCGCCACGTGCTCAGCTTTCTTCACCTCCTGCTCCGCGCGGGTCTTGAAGCGGCTTGATGTGTACTTGTACATCCTGGGGCAGAGGTGGGTGACCCTCAGGGCCCGAGTACTAGGGACCCAGGACAGCAAGTGTCCTGGCCACCCCCACCGTGAGTCCAAGCCAGGTTTCTCTTAGCAAAAACACTCAATTCCCGACTCCACTTGCCCTCTGCCTCCTGCTCCATCTCTGAAAAGCAGCCTCCCTGTACTCACTGAGATAGCCGCCTGTGCCCAGCTGAGCACCCTCCACCTCACAGAAGGCACATTCAGCGAGCCTCCCCAGCCACCACCATCCCTCCCTGGGGACCCAACAAGTTTGTCCGCAGTAAATCGCGAGCAGTTTAAAGGCCCAAACGCGGTCAACACCGTCAGCCATTCAGCCACCACGACTCCAGTGATGCCCCAAAGACACTCGGTCAGGCCCCGTCCTAGGCCTGAGGAAACGGCAGGCCCGGGTGGGCAGGCCCCTACCTGGGCTTGTACAGGCAGCAGGAGAGCCTCTTGGTCTGCACCTTGTGCCCATGGATGAAGATCCGCATCCGGGGATCAATGTAGAGCACGGCAGCGTAGGCACGGAAGGAGCGGCGCTCTGGCTTGCTGGAGGTGCGGGAACAGAGTGTCTGTCTCCACCCCACTCCCAGTTCACTCCAGGCCTGGCTGGATGGCCTCTCCTTGGGTTCTCCACCTGTCCACTTCCCACCTCAGCTTCTCTTGCTGCCGAGGGGTGCCTTCCCTGTGTGGGCACGTGCCCACCACGTCCCCACTATAGACTCAGCAATTCCTCGCCCCTCTAGGCCTCTCTCTCTTCCTCAGTTAAGGAGTTGGAGCAAGGATCTGGATTAGCTCAGGACCTGCTGTCATCCTATTCATCCCTTCCGCCTTATGGCAGGAAAACGTGGCATTCTCAGCCTTACCAGCTCTAAAGCTGGGGAATTCAGGGCACACGCTCACCCCCTCGCCCTCAGGTCACCTCCCTTTTCCTCCCTCCCCAGTCACACTCACGTGCCCTCTGGGGAAGTCTCTGCCATCTGGATATCCCTTGGATTTGAGATTATGTCCAGCTCTGGCTCTCCGTTATCCATGAGTTTGAGGTTGAAGATGATTACCAGCGTTCCTAGGAAACAGAAATCCTCCTATGGTTCTGCCAGGAAACCCCAGCCAGCCCCACACCACTCGGGGCTCTGGAGCGCTCCAATGCTAGGGCTGCAGGTGCAAAGCTTCCTTACCGCTGTCCCCAGGAATCTTCATGAACTGAGTCATCACCTCCTCTTCATTGCGGAAGGGAGAATATTTGTAGATGAGCTCTGTCTCGATGGCAAACTTCTCCACGTTATCTGTGACAGGTTCCCGGTTTCGAGCATTCCAAGTGGGCAATGGGACTATCACCTTTGGAGTAAGCACAGCAGGTGCTTTGAAGGAAGCCCCAGAACAGCCTTTCCCCCAAATATACATCCATCTTGTCCTTCCCCACAGTGGCTCCACGCTGGCCCAGAGTCCCCAACCAGGTAACAGAGGCTCTAGCTTCTGCCCCTTCCCAAGGCTCAGCCTCAGTTGCTAGGTCCTCTGGGTACATATGCTGGTTGATGGCCAGGGTGTCTCTGCATGAGCAGTTCCCTGCTTGGGATGTCCTTGGTCACTCCCCCAATTTGTTAATAATTCAACTCTTCCCCCTAAGCAAAATATATTTCCAGATCTAGTGAAACTCCAATACTTTGGTCACTTGATGTGAAGAACTGACTCGTTTGAAAAGACCCTGATGGTGGGAAAGATTGAAGACAGGAGAAGGGGATTACAGAGGATGAGATGGTTGGATGGCATCACCAACACAATGGACATGTGTTTGAGTAAACTCTGGGAGTTGGTAATGGAGAGGGAGGCCAGGCGTGCTGTAGTCCATGGGGTCACAGAGAGTCGGACACGACTGAGTGACTGAACTGAAGTGAATCCGAAGGCACACACAGACATAACTTACAACTCAGCAATTCTACCCCAGTTATCTACCCTAGGAGAAATTCCTGTATATACTTACTGACATATATGTAAGACATACGTGTAAGAAAACACAAATAACTGCGGAATGGATAAGCTAAACTACAGTGTATTCATAGAACGGAGCTCTGGACAGTGATAAAGATGAACCACCTACAGGTACTAGCATCAACAGGGATGGATCTCACAAACACAATGATACATGAAAGCAGCAGAGTACAGAATCAAAACCAAACCCAAGGGAAGGAGGTTCAGGAGGAAGGGGACATGGGTGTACCTACAGCTGATTCTTGTTAGTGTTATGACAGAAACCCACAAAATTCTGTAAAGCAATTATCCTTCTATTAAAAAATTAAGAAAACAAAACTCTACAGGATGGGTCCATTTATATAAAATTCACAACTAGGGAACTAAACTATTCAAGAATGCATACACAGGTGACAAAATTACAAAACAAGGAAATGATCATCACCAAAACAGCTTCTTTGGAGGTGAATAAGGAACACAGTGGGCGAGGGGCCAGCCTTAGTCTGTGACGGTGGCTATGTGAGTACCTGCTTTATGACTATTCTCTCAAACACACACAGATTATTTTTACTGAAGTCTAGCTAATTTACAGTGTTAATTGCTGCTGTATAGCAAAGTGATTCAGTTACATATCAGTTACATATACCCAGATTTTAATATGCCCTTTTATATGTATGAGATTTAATCTTACATCTAGGTAATCTTCTAAAAAATCCTACTCTTCAATTATACCTCAATAAAGCTAGGGAGAAAAAGTCCTATCCATTCTTCAAAAACCCTACAGCAAATGCCACTTTTCCAGAAGCATCAACTGCACCTCCCCGCAGCTGCCGGGGAGCCCTGTGGCCTGGGGCTCCCTCTCCAGAGCAAACCAGTTCAGGCACCCTAGCAGGGTCAAAACTGATGCCCACCCTGTGGAGAAGGGGACTCTGTGTCTTAACAAGCTCTGCAGTGATGAACTGCTACGAGTTCTGAGGCACTTCACTGGTTTCTAAGAACGAACCCTGGGGCTAGTTTGGACACATTCCTACCCAGTTGAAAATGATCTTATTTTAAAATCTTGGCTGAGTTCACACTGGAGTACAATCCAAAACAGTGACCTTCTAGCACCAAGTAAGGAAAAAATTTCAACCTAGCTTTTTCGCCAAGGGAATTGAGCTCCATTTGTGTTCTGTGAATCTGTGCCTCTCCCCACACCTCCCACCCTTCTCGGCAACCCCAGGTGACAACCTCAGCACTTTAACCTGTGGGCACTTCAGTGAAGTGATACCGCATTTGGCAGCACCTGCCAGGGGAACACAGCTCCTTTCCTTTCAGCGTCACCACTCTCTTGGGTTTCCCCTACACACCAGGACCTCAGCCATCTACAACCCCTCCTCCTTCCCCTTTCCCCTCTCCAACTGACTGACCACCACACCTGAGGCCCCAAGAGATGATGACCACTCCTATTTAGCACACCTCCTGCTAGAGTCCTGCCAAGCTACAGACAGCCACAGCCTCTCAACACCAGTACCCTGATCTTTCCAATCCAGCCACCAAATAGCCAAACTGATCTTTCCAAAGAGAATCTGACACTGTCATACCCCTGCTTAGATTCCCTTTAGTGGCTGCTTTTAATAAAGTCTCACTCACTTCCCAAGGCCTAGGGGTCAAGTCCAACGTGCCCTTCCTGTTCTCCAGAGGCTTCTACCATCTGCCAAGTCCGCTCCCACAGGCCCCACCCACTCTCAGGTCCTGGACCACTTCTGCTGACATGTACCCCCTCCTCCTGCCACCCTAAGTCATCCAGGAAAAGACCCAAAGAGCCCAGCAGGGGCTGCATCCTCCAGCCCCTCCTTCCCAAGAGGGCTCTCCTGCCGTGGCACTTGATTCACTGAAAAGGCAAACACACCCTTTGGCTCACCAAGTAAACGCACACGAGCTCATCTACTGCGATTTAGGCCCACACCTAAACAAGGCCAGTGCCCGTCTAAGAACAGCCAGCTAACACAGATGACATCCACTCAACTCTGACCAAATCCACCTGCTTACACGACAGACATGTTCTCTGCAGACTCTCTCGGCCCCCTTTCTCAAGCTCTCACCTCCATTTCTCACAGCAAAGGAGGTAAGAGTCCAGCCTGAGGCTGGACACACCAAGGCCTTCCATGATCCTCCCGTGAGCGGGTCTGGACCTCACCAGACCAGCTCTGCAGATATCTGAGCCACCAGGCCCAGAATCAGCTGGGTAACTTACGTTTCATTACCAAAAGGTTTCAAAATCAGAATATTCTAGAGTTATTAGGCCTCCCTTCTAGCGTACCAATAATCAGCTGGGGCTGAGTGTCAGCTGCCACTCACGAAGAACTTACACTGATCTCCCATCTCTTCACCTGCTTCACCTCCCGCCCAGGCCCTGCAGGTAATCAGACCTGCAGCCTCTGATACCAACGGTGAACAGAAAAGGCACTCAGGGCACAGGCCACAAAATCACCACCACTCGGGAAAGACAGCACTCTTCCTATTGTTATCACGCCCAGGGGTCTCCACCTGTAGTGGGGGAAGCCACAAACACTCCCCCTGACGAAACAGCTCTCCAGAGGGATGCCCCCTGCCCTGCCCCACACCCCAGGAACAAACTCAAGCTGCAGATCTAGGAGAGATACAAATGTAAGTCTTGGCTCCTGCCACGTGCAGCCTCATTCTTAGAACAACTGTTCTCTGAAGCTGTGAGATGATACCTGCCTTAACCCCTCAACCAATTCATCCAACCAACTGGCTAATCCCCTCACTGGGGGTGTGGCTGCAATCCTGAAACCCCAACAAGCCCAGCATACAGTGACCTGCGAGAACAGCCTGGACAGAACCAGGAGATGTGGGATGGTGACTGGGAATGTGAGGAGGGGACCCACCTCATCAATGCCCTCCTCCTCATGAAAGGTGCGTGACAGGAAGAGGCAGGTCATGGTGTCTTCCTTCTTGGTGAAGAGGATGAAATCCTTCCCGATGCGCATCGAGCCCCTGAAAGGGAAGCAGATAAGGATTACTCTCCCAGGCAATCAAAAGCTCAACTGAAAAGAGCAAATCCCTGCTCTGGACGGGACGAAACTGCCTTTGGAAGGTTCCCCTAAAGGCCTCCCTGGGACCCAGGGCCCCACGCTGAGCACCACGGCCCTGGCGCCCCTTCCTCCCCCGACACTCCTCCTCCTGCTCTTCATGGGCCCAGCTCTCCTTCTCACCTCCTCCACAAGGCCCCACCAAGCTGGGCTCTCTCCTCTCTCACCGCTGAGCACCAGCCCCAGCCTATCACTGTCCGTGCTCTGGGCGCCTCCCAGCCACACAGGCTTCACTCCAGTAACACCTTCAACACATCGACTTCCACGCTGAGCATATCCAGCTCTTGCCCTGACCTTCCTTCGCTGACACAAACTCCCCCCATCCACTCGTCTAAGGACAGCGCTGTCAGGGGAAGGGAACAGCCCACAATGCCTGTGCTTACAAGTCCTCCGAAAACCAGGGTGACCTCAAGGCTCAGCCGAGTACAGGGCTAACCAGGCAAAGCATCACTGCTGAAGAGTTTCAAGGGGGCCTACCACTGACTCATGGCCTATAACCACAGCCACCCTGGGTCTTCAATTGTCTAGTTATGTCTACTCATTAAGCCACAGGTCCCTGCTGTAGGACACGAGTGGTTTCTGAGAAATATGCCTCGAGGCTGACTTCCAGAAGGCAGAAGTCTGAATGGAATCAACTGCTCCTTCTTCAACTTGGCCGAGTTAATCCTTCTGAGGAGCAGGCAAGGACACACCTTTCCCAACAATATGGAACAGAGCAAAAGCATAAAACATGGGTGGAGGGGTGCCCACTGAACAACGGCCACGCAGTTCCTGCCCCCTGAGCAGCCTGTGTTACCTCATTAGTCCTCTCAGACCCCAGGGTGGTGATGGTGCTGGGAAGCCTTCTTACTCTCTGCTGTGTGCAAACACAAGCCGGGCCGGCATGCCAGGCACACAAGTGAACGCCATGACCCATGTCCCCAGACATTCAGGAAAACTCCAGGACACTATCCAGAGACAACCTGGGGGCTGCAAAGTTCTGTTTCTCGTTCTCCGTTTTCCTAGGCGCTGGCAATGCTCCCTCCCCGAGACAATCTCATGGTCCTCCTCCTCCTGCCTCCCTGAAACCTACCGGGGGCAAAATGAGGCAAGTTAGCTTGCCTTCTGTCAAAGCCTGCGCATGCCCTAATTTGGCAAAACCTCCCTTTTGTGCCTCTTCCCTCTGTCTTTGATCCTGAGCTTGGAGGGGAAATAAATAGCAACCACTCAAAAATGCCACTTCCCTGCTGACTTCTCTGCTTCTTAGCCCTCTTCTCACCACAAATCACTTCCTCCTGAACCTCTCAATTTCTAAATTCATCTCAAAATGAATTCAGTCTGAACACTAGATGGCCCCATCTCAATGGCTCCTCCCCAAAAGACGTTCTACTAAAATACACCGATGACAACACTCCCAACTTCTGTATGTTTTCCTTCCTGGTCTTCTAAGCACTTTCAGACTCACATTTCATCTACTCCTGAAACTTGCTCAGTAAGGAAGAATGTCAGTGATTAGAAACCCATATTCTACAGGAGGAAACAGACATTCAGAGAGGTGAAAGGACTTGTCTGAAGCCATAGAGCTGATGAAATCACATAGGAGGAGGCTGCCTACCATCCAGAAGGGAAGTCAGGGTTTCTTACAACTGAGACATCAGTGGCTGGAAACTTAGATCACCACATCAGAATCACCTAGGGAACACGTGGCGGGGGGGTGGGGTGGGGGTGGGGTGGGAATTCCCAGACCCTACCCCAGGTTCACCAAATCAGGCCCCAAATTTAGCATGGAAAGATCAAAGGAGGAGAGAGAAAATCAAAGTGAGAAACCAGGCCAGGGCACTCATGGCCCTAAATGACAGCGTGCAATTCTTAACCCACTCACATGTGTGATACCCAAGTTACAAAGGCGGAAGCTGAGCCTCAGAGAGGTAAGTGACTAATGTCAGATCCAAACCCTGGTTTGTCTGACTCAAACGAGGTAGACAGCAGCCCCGGCCCTGCCATCAGAAAGACGTGGTGCACACCTCAGCACTACACATGGGCATTTTCATGCCTTTGGGCAAGCCACTTCACCCCTATAAACCTTGTTTCTCTCATCTGAAGCTGAGAATCATGGTATCTACACCTCACAGGGCTAGGGTGAGGATTAAACTAAATGATCCAAGCGAAGTTTTTTAGTACGTGTCCTGCACGTGCTAAGTGCCTGACACTAAGAGACGAGTGGGAAGTCCAGACATTAGGTCTGTGCTGTCGTGGGAGGCATCATCTCTCTTCCACACAAGCCCAAGCCTGCTGCACAGATGTACAACCGATGCTGCTGCCCAGCCAAACACACCCTCAAAGAACACAACACGTTTCCACAGCAAGACCAGAAACATGACTCAGAACTCCATCTGTACAAACTCTAATCCCAATAAATCTTATTCCATCCAAAGGTATGTACAGCTGGAAGTGAGCATTTCAGAAATAGAAACCTTTCTCTTGGGGCTTTGCTCAAAACCAGAACAACACATTCCACACGCTAAACAAGTGGGAACCAAGGGGCTGAGAAAGAAGTCCCAAGGGATGTGAAGACATTAGGTAAGTCCCTTCTACAGGGCCTAGCAGAACATGTGGGCAGCAATCATGTCCTCCGTGTGGGGGAGGCTTTGGGTCTCTCTCTTACCCTGGATCCCCAGCACCTGGCACAAAGCATGGCAGGTGCTCTGGGAACAATGCTGCACCAGGGGGCAGCCCCTCACCACCTCAGATGCATCCCAAGAACACAAAACGACCACTGGCGACCTCAATCACAGGCACAAACAAGAATTTTCAACCAGAGGAGAGGCACCATTCCAGAACACAGTGCTAAGAGAAACCTACAGCTTCTACTAGCTCAACGGTTCGAGACATTCACACTCTTTCATCTGTGGCATAAACCAGACTCAAAGTTGATTTAATTCACGTTTCTGGCCGTCAGTTGCTAAGTCCCTAACCACCACCCCTTCCTGACTGTCCTCCTGTTCCAGGATTAAGGTGATGGAATGACAAGGAGAGCATCGCTTGATTTTGTTGAGTCCTGTGATGGGCTTCTGGTATACTTACGACTTTAACCCGTTCCCGTACTGCCCAATCTGGGTGGACTCAGGCGTTCGCTTGGCCGACTTCCCAAACTGGATCACGCTGGCAGCATCACCTGGAGTGGTAGGCGAGAGAGAAAGGGGAAAGTGTGCTTTTCTTTCCCGGACTCTCAAAAATCAAAGGTCTGAACCTCATTTAATCCAAGCGGGGCTATCTGTCTACTGAAAACCTCTGCCAGGAAATTCACAACTGGGAGGCACATGGAGGAAACCTGACTGGCCTGTCAGTACCACCATCCCGAAGTCCTAGTTCTGTTACCAGGACGCGGTAACCAGGCTGGGGCAGGCCACCACAGTTTCAGCTCCAGGATGTTACGCAAGCCAGTGTCAACAGACAGGTAGCCTGACGGACTTAAGGCTGCCATTCAGATCCTATCTCCCACATTAGGACAAGACCTGGCAAATCCGTGAGTGGAATTAGCCTGAGATGTTGCAAGAGACTGCTCTTGCCCTTCTAGTCACAAGAGTGAGGCAACAGAAAATCAAGTTAACACAATAAGCATTTTATAAAAACGCTTAGTTACATCCTCCCCTAAAGAAGCAATCAGCCCATCACTTACTTGGATCCATTCCTGCTCCATCATCCAAAAAACAGAGCATAAATCCTCCTCGAAGGTCCTCCCGCCTTTCTGTAAAAGGAGGAGCTGCCATTACCGGGCGGTCACCCACCAGAGGGCATGACTTGGGCATGACTGGGAGGTGGATCACCGTGAAGCTGGGTCCAAAAAGGTCTTCTCTTCGAGCAACCCCAGCAGGCGAGAGAGAAACGGGAAAGTCTGCTCTTCCTTCCCAGGCGCTCAAAAATCAAAGGTCTGAGCCTCATTCAATCCAAGATCCCCCACCCCAGGAGTGAGACCGAGCGGAGTGCAGTGGGAGCTGCCTGGTTTCCTTCCCACTGCAGCTGCTCGAAGGTCCTGGAAGGAGCAGTCACTGGACCGTAAGACACAGCACAGCTGTGGCCAGGTGTCCTGGCTGACAGGAAGGAAACCCCACAGACTAAGGCCACCATTCCAAGGGAAGAAAGAACCCCCCCTGCAGCAGGCATCGCTACAGCAGCAAGTGGTCACTCAGAGCAAGGCTGGGTCCAAGCACACCATGAAGGCCATAGGACAGTCCCCCAAACAGGGAAAGGCTTGCTAAACCAGTTTCCAAGGTGCCTTTCGACTCCAATGATGAGGTTGAAATGGGCAGAGGAGGAATAGCACAGGTCTTGGAATCAGGAGACCATGTGTACTAAAAGGAAGAAGGTCAGTTTATGGTGCTACAGGGATAAGTCCGCAGTGGCTTGGAGTCTTGTTCCTAACTGAGGACATTTCTATCTCCACCAAGCTACAGTTTGCCAACTTTATACACCTACCTAAGCAAGGGAATCTTAGTCTAAAATGCTCTCTGTCCTCCCCTCCGGCTAAAGATTCAAGTAAATTATTAATTGCCTCTTAAATGGGTTAATGTAATTTAAAATGCTATTTCAAAAGTACAATAAGCCACAGAAATTTTCAAGTATCACTTGCTGTTCAGGAAGGTGAACTTTCAGTTCAGTTCACTCGCTCAGTCGTGTCCGACTCTGCGTGACCCCACGGACCGCAGCACGCCAGGCTTCCCTGTCCATCACCAACTCCCAGAGCTTGCTCAAACTCATGTCCATCAAGTCAGTGATGCCATCCAACTATCTCGTCCTCTGTCGTCCCATTCTCCTCCTGCTTTCAATCTTTCCCAGCATCAGAGTCTTTTCAAATGAGCCAGTTCTTCACATCAGGTGGCCATTAAGTATTGGAGTTTCAGTTTCAGCATCCAGTCCTTCCAATGAATATTCAGGACTGATTTCCTTTAGGATTGACTGGTTGTATCTCCTTGCAGTCCAGGGAACTCTCAAGAGTCTTCTCTTGAAGAGCACAGTTCAAAAGCATCAATTCTTCGGCGCTCAGCTCTTTTTCTAATCCAGCTCTCACATCCATACATGACTACTGCAGAAACCATAGCTTTGACTAGACTAGCTTTGACTTTGTTGGCAAAGTAATGTCTGCTTTTTAATATGCTGTCTAGGTTGGTCATAGCTTTTCTTCCAAGGAGCAAGCATCTTTTAATTTCATGGCTGAACTCTGCTGAAACATTAACAAATGCTTCTTGATAGTTCAAGCATAAGGACCTTCCTGGAAGCCCGACTGGTAGATAAGAAAACTTCTGCTTGCGACAGAGCCTTCTATCAATCTGGAGAATCCAAATGAGATCTAGTAAGCAGAAGCAAGTGCAGAAAAGGGACAAAAATCTTCAAAGTTTCCTTCTGGAGGAAGCAAAGTGTCAGATGGAGACTCAACTTGGTCAGGGACAGAGCATGGCACAGCAAGTGTTCTAAAATTCTAAATGTAGCCAAGAGCCATTTGCTGGATGATTTAGCCTAAGATGTACATGAAGACTCTGATTTGGGATCTAGAAAGTGGTTCAAGCCAAGTGCATCTGAAAAATCTCCGAGGATTACTGGTATTTCTTGAACACTACCTAGGAAGTTGCTTCCAGGCCCTTGTGTTTGGTAGGACTCACAGGCTGTTTTAGCAGTCATCACTTAACACTGGGTCTGAGATCCCTTCCTGCTCAAAGGCTTCATTTTAGATCTTGTCCATGCGCTGTAAGAGACACACACCTAGGAGGGTCCTCCTACCCGTATAGATGACCCACAGCTGTGGGTGCCTAGCAGCGCTCAGGGCCATGGTCGGTACAGCACTGCCTCGGGGCCGAGACAGACTAGCTGACGCAGCAGTAACTCCTTCAAATTCGTAAAAAAACAAAAACAAAAAACAGGCAATGTGGCATCTTCACAATGCTTCACAATCACTCATTTATCTGATGTGCCTGGCTCTGTAATGAAGATAATAGCCAAGAACAATGCCACTATTAACCACTGCCTTCAGGGAGCTTCCAGTCCAGTGGACACGACTCCCTGCAGCACATAGTTGAGGAGGACGGTTTGAGCAGAAGACTGAGAAGAGTGTCAGCTTGAGCAAAAGCAGTGTGCATTAAGAATCACCTGAAGAGCTTATTACAAGAGATTCTGGGCTCCACCCTGGAGGGTCTGAGGTCTCCATCTGCATTTCTAAACTGCTCCCAGGTGATGCCAATACTGTCCACTACTGGACCACTCTTTGTAAAGCATAGAGCTAGAGTTAGCAAGAACTAGAGGCTCCCCTGCCTGCAACAAAACCCCCAGACATTCCAGCAGTTAGGAGACGCATTCCTCACACCTTCTACTCACTTTAATCAATCAACTGAATGACATCCGAGGAAAAGATTTTATGAAACTGGTGGAGTTCTGGACAGAGGAGGGGGTCTGGGCAGCTGGGGGTTGTCTGCGCCCCCTCTTAACATACATCCTGGAGGAGGACAGAGCCAAACTGCCTTCTCTGCAGCTGTGCCTCAGGCCCTGGTGGCAGCTTAGGACGATCAGAACCGGTGTGGTAGGCTGCCCATCTAAGCTTCCCCTATATGACCAAGTCTGGCTTCTCCCAATTACTGCAACATTCCTCCATCCAACTCCCACTGGGGAGAACAGGAAAAAGAAAAAAGCTGGAGGAGACATGAAATGGAGCTTTAAATCAATCGTCAGAGGTGACAAGATAACGCTGTCCTCAGCAGAGGCTGTAACAGAACGACCGTCAAGTTCTTCACTGTACTCTGCAATCTGTTTGAACAGTCTTCATTTCAGCTGCATTTGCTTTAAGTTTCCATTTACTAACCACTGACCTGGCATCACAAAAGGAATCTTTCTTTGAGGCACAGCAGTCCCTATGGAAGGAAGTCCAGAAAGTCAATAAAAACACAGTCTGACAGGCATGTTCTAGTCTGTCCCCATCTAATAGGAATGCGTTGGGTACCGGAGTCTGGTTTGTTTCTCACCCTTCTTTAAGCTATAACGTGAATTTGCGGCAAATTCAAACTACATTTGATGTTTGGGAATATTTCTAAGTTCAGGATCAAGCTATTTTCAGAAAGGAAAACAGGAAAATACTTTCCCTGATATATTAACAACAAAAACTTAATAGTACATTATTAATTCTATTATCCTCCATACAGTTTCTGTCCTTTATGGACTAAAGAGCCTCTTGATGAACGTGAAAGAGCAGAGTGAAAAAGCTGGCTTAAAACTCAGCATTAAAAAAAGAAATGAAGATCATGGCATGCGGTCCTATCACTTCATGGCAAATAGATGGAGAAACAATGGAAACAGTAACAGACTTTATTTTCTTGGGCTCCAAAATCACTGCAGATGGTGACTGCAGCCATGAAATTAAAAGATGCTTGCTCTTTGTAAGAAAAGCTATGACAAACCTAGAAACCATATTAAAAAGCAGAGACATTACTTTACCGACATAGGTCCGTAGAGTGAAAGCTATGGTTTTCCCAGTAGTCAATATATGGATTTGAGACTTGGACCATAAAGAAGGCTGAGCGCCAAAACAACTGATGCTTTTGAACTGTGGTGTTGGAGAAGACTCTTGAGAGTTCCCTGGACTGCAAGGAGATCAAACCAGTCCATCCTACAGGAAATCAGTCCTGGGTGTTCACTGGAGGGACTGGATGCTGAAACTGAAGCTCCAATACTTTGGTCACTTGATGCGAAGAACTGACTCCTTAGAAAAGACCCTGAAGCTAGGAAAGATTGAAGGCAAGAGGAGAGGGGATGAGAGAGGATGAGATGATGGGATGGCATCAGCAGCTCGATGCACATGAGTTTGAGCAAGCTCCGGGAGTTGGTGAGGGACAGGGAGGCCTGGCGTGCTGCAGTCCATGGGGTCACACAGAGTCAGACACGACTGAGAAACTGAACAACAACAAATTCTATTATCCTACTTGTAAAATGAGGTAGCTTTGATTTCTCCTATTGCATGTGGTAATATAACACTGAGGTAGAAAGGTGTGAAGTTGGGGCACCTCAGTCAAGATGCCCAATCTCAAGGTACCTCGGGTAAATTAAATCTTTCCGCAAAACGCCAGAGTTCTTGGTCCTCCCGTCTCACCATGTAATCCTTAACTACCCTGATAGTTCCCTCAAGATCAAGTTTTTGTTCCCCAGTCATCTGTGGAGTGCTAACTGTCTCCAATTAACAACTAAATTCTCTAATGGCAATTTAGCAAAGGCCCCACCTCATCCTCTCAGGACTCCTCCCAAAGTCCTCCCAAAGCACAACAGTTAACACTGAGCACAAAATAAAAGTACACTGGGCCATTTTCATTTAAATTGAAATCCAACTGCTCTGTTGCATTCCAAGTGAAAGCACTAAATTTCTTTGCTGAAATTCACCCACCAAAGGTGGTAAACGACTTAAAGACTGAACTGAAAGGTGAAAGGCAGTAAACAGGAGCAGAGATGATCTCTTTTAAAAAGCTTCTTCCATGAATTCCCTGGCTGTCCAGTGGCTAGGATTCCTCGCTCTCACGCTGAGACCTTAGGTTCAATCCCTGGTCAGGGAACTAAAATCCCATAAGCTCCACAGCCCAAAAAAAAAAAAAAGCTTCTTCCAAAATAGGATGATTTTTTCCCTTCCACATCACTTGGAGTAGAGTCCTATCCTCTGCTTTGCCATCTGTGCGATGATTTAAACAGCTTCAACTTCTTCCAGAGGTTCCTGCTCCTCACTGAAGCACTCTGGGGTGGAAGACCTACTGTGGTGCAGAAATGATACCTCCATCTGGCCTAATGGTTATTAAAACCATCTTCTAACTTTCTTATGCTATGACCCAGGCTCCTGCTATTCTCTTCTAAAATAGTCTTATTTTCACCACTTTGGCAGAGCCTTTTGAACAGTAGGTTTTTAGAACTTAAGCAGGATAGCTGATTTTTAACTGTTCTGAGTATTTTCTTTGCTCCAAAGTGTATCAGGCAGAAGGAAATCATATCTGGGAATATTCTTTACAATTATATGACACTGGAAGTTCTAAGAATTACTTTCTATTGAGTGCTTATTCCCATTGATCAAAACAGGTCTGTAAAGAGAAAGAGGGATTATTTGATAACCATATATTCCCATAAAAACTCAAGTTTCTCAAAAGTGAGGCAATGCCAACCAAATTGGATTTAAAAGCAATCTTTCTCTGTTACACTTCCAAATTTTTAGTACTCAAATGACAAAAAAAATCTGCTGGTACAAACACTGAACAGGCAGAAAGCAATTTGTTTATTAAAAGTGGGGTAGGGCAATGACAATGACTAAGATTTCTGTCACTGATGTACACACTCCATAATAAAGAAAGGAACTTACTGCCAAAGAGCAGAGCCAATCAGGCAAAAATACTGGACGTTGTCAATATTTTTAAATTCTAAGCAAAGTAGCCCTATTTCCTACCTGACTCCTCGGCCTGAGAACATCTCTGCAAACCTCAGTGCCAATCCAGTTACACGACTGTTTTGTACAACTGACACCAGCAGCTCTTCAAGCTGGGATTTGTCCTTACCAAGACTGCAGGGGCATAAGATAGCCTTCAACAAGATCTTTCTTTGACTGCAGGAACCACAAGCCCCATAAACCTGGCCACCTGCTAACTGCAATCAGGAAAATCAGTGGTACTTGGTCATTTCACTCCACATCAACCTAATTAATCTCCCAGTGGCTTTCTTTAAATAGACCCATAGATCTGGAAAAGCTCTATGCAGTCAGCAAAAATAAGATGAGGAGCTGACTATGGTTCAGGTCATGATCTCCTTATTGCCAAATTCAGACTTAAAATTGAAGAAAGTAGGGAAAACCACTAGACCACTCAGGTATGACCTAAATCAAATCCCTAACAATTACACAGTGAGAAATAGACTCAAGGGACTAGATCTGATAGACAGAGTGCCTCAAGAACTATGGATGGAGGTTCGTGACACTGTACACAAGGCAGGGATCAAGACCATCCCCAAGAAACAAAAATGCAAAAAGGCAAAATGGTTGTCTGAGGAGGCCTTACAAATAGCTATGAAAAGAAGAGAAGCAAAAAGCAGAGGAGAAAAGGAAAGAACTACTCATTTGAACGCAGCATTCCAAAGAATAGCGAGGAGAGATAAGAAAGCCTTCCTCAGTGATCCAGGCAAAAAATAGAGAAGAACAGTAGAATGGGAAAGACTAGAGATCTCTTCAAGAAAATTAGAGATACCAAGGGTTCATTTCATCCAAAAATGGGCAAAATAAAGGACAGAAATGGTATGGACCTAACAGAAGAAGAAGATATTAAGAAGAGGTGGCAAGAATACACAGAAAAACTATACAAAAAAGATCTTCACAACCCAGATAATCCCAATGGTGTGATCACTCACCTAGAACCAGACATCCTAGAATGTGAAGTCAAGAGGGCCTTAGAAAGCATCACTACGAACAAAACTAGTGGAGGTCATGGAATTCCAGTTGAGCTATTTCAAATCCTAAAAGATGATGCTGTGAAAGTGCTGCATTCAATATGACAGCAAATTTGGAAAACTCAGCAGTGGCCACAGGACTGGAAAAGGTCAATTTTCATTCCAATCCCAAAGAAAGGCAATGCCAAAGAATGTTCAAACTACCACACAACTGTACTCATCTCACACGCTAGCAAAGTGAAGTTCAAAATTCTCCAAGCCAGGCTTCAACAGTACGTGAACTGTGAACGTCCAGATGTTCAAGCTGCATTTAGAAAAGGCAGAGGAACCAGAGGTCAAATTGCCAACATCCGCTGGATCATAGAAAAAAGCAAGAGTGTTCCAGAAAAACATCTACTTCTGCTTTATTGACTATGCCAAAGTCTTTGACTATGTGGATCACAACAAACTGGAAAATTCTACAAGATATGGGAATACCAGACCACCTGACCTGCCTCCTGAGAAATCTGTATGCAGGTCAAGAAATAACAGTTAGAACTAGACATGGAACAACAGACTGGTTCCAAATAGGAAAAGGAGTACGTCATGGCTGTATACTGTCACCCTGTTTATTTAACTTATATGCAGCGTGCGCTGGATGAAGAAGCACAAGCTGGAATCAAGATTGCCAGGAGAAATATCAATAACCTCAGATATGCAGATGACACCACCTTTATGGCAGAAAGCGAAGAAGAACTAAAGAGCCTCTTGATGAAAGTGAAAGAGGAGAGTGAAAAAGTTGGCTTAAAACTCAACATTCAGAAGACTAAGATCATGGATGGCATCTGGTCCCATCACTTCATGGCAAATAGATGGGGAAACAATGGAAACAGTGAGAGACTTTATTTTCTTGAGACCCAAAATCACTGCAGATGGGTGACTGCAGCCATGAAATTAAGACGCTTGCTCCTTAGAAGAAAAGTTACAACCAACCTAGACAGCATATTAAAAAGCAGAGACATTACTTTACCAACAAAGGTCCATATAGTCAAAGCTATGGTTTTTCTAGTGGTCATGTATGGATGTGAGAGCTGCACTATAAAGGAAGCTGAGCGCCGAAGAACTGATGCTTTTGAACTGTCGGAGAAGACTCTTGAGAGTCCCTTGAACTGCAGAGATCCAACCAGTCTATCCTAAAGGAAATCAGTCCTGAATATTCATTGGAAGGACTGATGCCAAAGGTGAAACTCCAATACTTTGGCCACCTGATGTGACGAACTGACTCTCATTTGAAAAGACCCTGATGCTGGAAAACATTGAAGGCGGGAGGAGAAGCGGGCAACAGAGGATGAGATGGCTGGATGCCATCAGCAACTCAATGGACATGAGTTTGAGTCAACTCCAGGAGTTGGTGATGGACAGGGAGGCCTGGCGTGCTGCAGTCCATGGGGTCGCAAAGTCAGACACAACTGAGCGACTGAAGTGAATTGACTGACAGATCTCGGCACCTCGTGGTAGTTCCCTTAATACCAATATTCTTGATTTCTATTACACACCTGATCAGGGCTACCCTGTCCTGCCTAATACCTGGAGTAATCAGGCTGTCTACCCAGACTCCAAAAACCAGTTATCTCCCACTCATGTATTTTCAGGCACAACAGTGAATGCTTCTGGGAACGGGGCACGAGAAGAAGACTGGTATCTGTCTTACCTGCATAAATATCAATTCTCGTGGCATCAGCATCTCTGCAAAGTTGGGAAAAAAATCAATATTCAAATGAGAATATGAAGTATAACCATTAAAGATGCACAGTACTGAGTGGGATACATACTATTTTGAATCTATTTTCAGGAAATCATAAAAGAAATTCTATATACATTAAAGATATACTTTTACATTTGGTAGCACACTTTTCCTTACATGTCTGTGAAACCTCTCTGGAGCTCCAAATTATTTAAAACCATCACAAGATACATAGGGTCTGAATACCCTTTTGTAAATAAACATTTCACAGTGAGAACAGCTGGAGGGTGCAGAAGAACATCCCTTTACACACTGAGTGACTCCAGTCGCTTGTGTGAGCGCGGTCATAAACAACACTCCAACGTCTCATCCATTGCTCCTTCTCACCGAGATTTGAGGAAAAAGGAAAACAATGCTCTGCCGCAGAAGCCTGAGAAAAGCAGTCTTACGGTATACACACCACAGTCAGTACACTGACTCATGAGCCCATAATCTTATCCTCCCTAAACCTGAAAGGAAGTTTGGGGGCACCCCATCAGGCTCCAGCCATCAGCTGAAATAAAAGCTCAGTCATCAGTGAAGTCTTCCATAAAGGCTTGAAAGTAATCTAGCCCAATTTTGCCAACTGCAGGCAAAGAAAATGAGGCGCTGAGTTTCACTGCTTTTAAATACAAAATAATTCACTCGAATCCATACAACTCCATAGGTACTTATTCCCAAAAACATAAAAACATTTTCAAAAATAGAAGAGATTGGCAAAGTATGTGCATGAGCAGGAACATACACTCCAAGGCAATCTCCAGTTCACCATATAATATATAAAAAAGCAGCCTACCAAAACACACTGTAGTATCACTGAACAAGTGGCAAACAGAAACACTGTTCCATTGAGCCACAACATTTTTAAATTCAATATAAAAATTATGAGTCAACCAGGTTTGAAACAATCGAAAAACTGAAAATGCAACTTTTCAGGTTAAACAAGTTGTTAACTAGCATACTTCCATGCGCAGTCCAGTAAATAATAACAATAAAACTATAACGGTATAGATCTACAGTATAGACATAGACATATGTCTATTACCATTATGTCATTAGCTGGAGATCTGTTTACAAAGTACTTCTGTCAACTCTTATCTTCTTCATTAGTCATACTGGTCAATAAACACCATGTCTGAATTTCATGTCTGCATTCAGAACTCTGTGATATAATTATAGGCAGACTTTTGATTTGGGATTTCACTCTCCCTGAACCAATCCAAACTTCTTTTCAGTCTTACACAGTAACATTTACAGGCTTCTATCACTAAGAACTCAGTATAATACTGTGCTGAAGAATGATTTCTTCCAAGCACAGCTGCTAACAATGGAAGATGCTTTGATCAACTAGCCTCATCTGACAATAAAATACACTCACTCCTTAGTATCCACAAGGGACTGGTTTTAAGACCACCAAGGACAAAAAAATTTCCAGATGCTCAACTGCCTTCTATAAAATCATGTAGTACTTGCATATAATCTGTGCACATCCTCCTGTTTACTCCAAATCATCTCTAGGTTACTTATGATAACACAATGTAAACGTATGTAAATAGTTGCAAGCAAGCAGCAAACTCGAGTTTTGCCTTTGGAACCTTCTGGAACTTTTCCAACACTTTCGATCTGTGGTTCCTTGAATCCACAGATGCAGAGCTGCAGATACAGAGGGCTGACTATATTTTGGGAAGACACAGAACTCTGAAATAATTTCAAAGACATTAGATGGTTTACTGTCCTGGTAGCACAAATTAAAAGTTTGTCCTAGTAATTAGATCCTTAAGTTTTTATCTTAATTCCCTGTGTTTCACAACAATTATCTTGTTCTAATACACATGGAAGGTAGCTTGAGAGTTTGTAAGTTCACTATTTTTAGTCTGGAACATAGAAATGAATGGATTAAATTATCAACAAACGTGCTATTTAAAATACTTTTTGGGTAAGATGCCTTCTAGGAGTGAGTCACATATGCAAAAGAACTGCCTTCCTCCCAAGTCTTCAGAGATCAGAGATCACAAAAACCCAAAAAGTTTTCAAGCACAGACTGCACACCTGAAGACTACATACCTTGCATTATCAACTAGTTCAGCAAGAGCACCAAACAAGAATTCATGAGTGGTTCTGAAATGATAAATATTAAGAATCAGCAAAAGAATTATCAATTAAGCTACAGTTCCTAATATAATGTCAAGGTTATAAAATATTTAAAAGGTTTTTTTTGGGAAAAACCTAAAATTGCTACTTGCATCATCAAATTACACTATTCAAGTTTTAAACTTCTCCACAATTCAAGTCTTTCTAGAGTTCTGCTCTAGCTCTACTGCTAAAGCAATGTTTTTCACTATTCATATTCTACCTAGAAAAACAAGTATATTTTATTTATCAGCCTCTATCTACCAGCTGTCAGTTTCTGCCTATCTCTAAGAACGCTCAATGGAGAAATCATTACCATTTAGCTTTACCAGTACCTTTGTGATGATTAACTGGTGAAAAACCACTCAGTATTGTGCAATTTATATGCAAAACTACTCCGCTTAAAAGTGGGGAGAAAGGAAAAAAATAATTCAGTTTTTGATGCTCCCTGATTTTGGTACGCATGCCTTCCTCTGCTTACACCTCCTTTCATTGGTGCTGTTTCCACAATAGTGCTCATTAGATGTGAGAGTAGATACATCAACCTAGAACCACCTACAATTTTTTTTTTCCTAGCCCTGTGGTGCAACATATGGATCTTAATTCCCTGTCCAGGGATCAAACCCGGGCCCTCTGCAATGGAAGAGCAGTCTTAACCACTGGACTGCCAGAGAAATAATGAAACTCTGACTTTTGTAAGCATTAACTCACATAATATATTACTATCACAATGTAAAAAAAAAAAAAAAAATTTTAAAACACGTATTATTCCAGTTAATTTTTTGTATACAAAGTTTCAGTCCATAAAGTAAAAATTTCTATATATATTTAGAATATACCAATATTAAAATAGCCAGCATCTAGGATCTGTGAGTACTTACTGTATTGTTCAAAACAAATTGTAAAACACTTGTTTATAAAATAACCCAAAACTCAACTGTCCAGAAGTTTTTCCCTCAAATAAATCTCCACATTTTTATAAATGCAATTTTTTAAATTAAAACTACTAGTCCTTGGAATTTTAGGAAGAACTTTTTTCCATGAGAACAGTGAATATATGTATCTGTTGCTGATCCAAATGAAGTACCATGCTGTAACAAAAAGTAGAAATTTAATCTCCAATTTCCCTGAAAAGAGCTCAAATTCCTCTAAATCTAATTCTTATTTCATATGAAATAAAAAAATTTTCACAAGGAAAAAAACCTGAATAAAGCATCTATATCTTTAGTTATTTAAAAAATTTTGTCTCCAAAATTATCACCCTAAATTCTTCAAACTATCTACTGAAGAAGCAAAAAATTTTCTGCGTATTACTCCACGTATTAAATTGGGAGAAAAGCTGGAAAATTAAATAAACTGATTTACTGAAAGTAATACGAGTTAAAAGTAAAACTAGTATCTGCTCTAAAGCTTTCAACCAATCATTTTCCTGTCTGACTTTGTCGTGACTAAGTAACTTATGAAGTGAATTAGTTTTCTACACTCTTTTTAAAAAAATTTTGAAGGTTAAAATGGAAAATAACAAATTCCACTGCAATACTTCTCATTTCCTTGAATTCAAGGAATCTCAGAAATACAGCTCCTAGGGTAGGGGTGGGGGACACAAGAATACAATCTTAGACTACAATTTGTGTGTAGAAATAAAGGAAGAATGAAGTATCTGGCCTATGGTAGTGACAGTGGTGAATATGAATAATCTGGAAAACTAATTCTGATACCTCTGCCACCCAGGCAAAGAAATTAAAAAAACAGAAATGGCAATGGCTTCTCACAAAATATATTTTTTGTCGCTTCACATGAAAATTAAAGGCACTCAGAATTCAATAACATCTCAAAAAAGAAAAGGACAAAGCACTTCTGGCTAAGTTTTCACTGTTTTCTACACAACTGTTAGAAAACTGCTTTGTATATTTAGAATCTAAAAACATTCCAAATGTCTTCGTTGTTCCAGATGGTATCAATGCTGTTCCACAAAACGTATTTCAGGTAAGTTAACATATCTTTAAATGTAGCTAAGGGGTGCTTTTGTGACGTGCACTGACACATCACAAAAGGGGCCTTTTGTGACAACTGTTGGTGAGGTCAGAGACGACACTCAGAATCTTCTCCAAACCTCCAACTGATCCTACTAATAAATGCTAAAACTAAAGTTCTAAATATCTCTCAAATCATAAGAAACAAAAACATACCAACTATAAAAGATCTTCCCTTTTTTTCAAATAATATTCAAAGAGATGAATTCATTGCTAGCGAGCAGTTTAGAGTTATTTATATAAGGATCAAAGAAAATTCTTTTCTTCACAGACCTAAAGATTCTTTACATGTAATCCAAGAAATATCAACCATCTGGAAAAAGAAAGATTTTTAACGAACTGTTTCAACTGATTTCAACTGATTGTGGCTTTTATACCAATTGTGCCACAATCAAAATAGCTTTGCATCTCAGCATTTCCAATGACAAATTCAAGTGTAAATCTACTCATTATGTAAGGAAAATGGTCTATTTACATTCAGCCTGAATTTAAAGCAATTATAACCCCATCACACAGTAATAGGTTCTACTAAGTTCTTGGATATGCAGTCCAGAGTTAATTGCCTTAACTGCTAAAAAATAAAGCTGAAAACTTCCAGGGCAACCATTTTACATTCAAAGGCTTTACTGTATTTAGTGTGAACCCATATTTCAACAGGATTATAAATCACAAGAAATACCGTTTGTAAAGTTGAAAGGTTCCTCTACCTTCACTTCCCATATCAATAAAACAACTCAAAGATACAAATGGCAGAGACAATAAGCTTTTAAATGTGCCAAAAGGAATAGACATACACAGCAGGCATCTTATACATAAGCACCCTGCTCCATCAAGCCACTTAGCAATACTGCAAACAGAATGACTGAAGATATATACCTTCTGCCAAAGGAACATTACAACAATCACTCCATCTTGAATCTGGCACCTAGACTGCTCATGGACTTTTCAGCAGCAGTCACAAAACCCACCACACTAAACAGCAGTAAAAGCATAAAACCACTTTTATTCAAAAAATCCTAACTTCAATCATCTTATATGACCAACTTGCAGTATTTAAAAGAAATTCACCTAAGCCTTCCATGTTACAATTTCCCAGACCTGCCTCAAACCCTAATGCTGATATAATCAAGTTACTATAGAACAATACCAAAACAATAATAATTCCAAACAGGTGTTTATTATCTTCAACAGATGCTCCAGAATTTATTAAAAATTAATCTGCCTAATGACCATCCCCAAACATCAAGTTGCTATCACACTGACCAATTTTTGGTTTATATGAGCTAACTAGAACAAATAACTGTCACTATCTATTCAGTATTTACTATGAACTATGTGCAATCTGATTACCTTATAAACTATTTTACACAATCCTCATAAACATTGTCAGATTAGTCCTGTTTTGTAAATGATGAAACTGAGGCTCAGATAAGTAGACCTACCCAAGGACACAGACAGGAAACAGAAGCCTGGCTGGCTACCAAGCCCATGCACTTTCTACTGCATCACACTGACTTCTACCCTTCTATCCTGGACTCTGCTAAATGGGTGCTAAGGAGTCATTTCTTTCACAATATACACCATGGCAATTTATAGATATCAGACACCCTAAAATGGTCTTCCTGTTTTTTTTCATTATAAAAAAGGAGAAGGAAAACCCTCCCTTCTCTGAAGGTTAACACCATACCACTTAACCCAGAGGACACATCTACCATCATTACCAAGTCACATTTTCTGAAAATTTTAAAATTTGTTTCCTCTAGAAATTAACTTCCAGTCAAGTCACAATAAAGGTCTTGAAACTGGTTACAAACCAAAAACATATCTAGGTGTTCTGGGGTTCATATTTTCTTCCCATAGAACTGGATACATTCAAAAGTAAACAACTTCTAAGGTGTGATCCAGATAATAAATTCCAGAGCTTCCAAAATGATACATCCAACTCTCAAAAACGTTTATGCAAGCAAGTGGTTCCAGTTCAACAAAGTAAGTCAAATTCCCAGAAAATTCTCCAATTTCAAACAAAAGACTTAACTGAGGTTCAATTCTTTCCCTTTGCTCTGTTCTCCTATTTCCAAGCCATAAAATAGCAAAAGAAATGAAATATCCCAGAATCCTCAACTTAAGAGGTTCACTGAGATAAACTGAAATTTATCTCCTGGCCAGAATACTGGAGGGGGTAGCCTTTCCCTTCTCCAGGGGAGCTTCCCAACCCAGGGATCAAACCAGGTCTCCCGAATTCAAGGCGGATTCATTACCAGCTAAGCCACAAGGCAAGCCTAATCTAAAACTGAAGACTTACAAAATGGAAAGTAAACCTTCTGGCATATATACAAGGAAACAAGCTTTTAAAGGTAAAACTGACTACAGCTGGTGTTGCCTAATGGTTAAAAGCACTAATCATGTGGCCAGATAAATCTTACCACTTTGAATCTTGGTGCGTTGAAGCTGCCTTGAAGCTGTGTAACCTCTAGCATGTAATAATCTCTTTGAACTTCAGTCTTCTCAAATGCAAAACAGGAATAACCCTTACTCCAGTAGGATTGCTAAAAAGATCATTTTTGACCATGTTTAAATGTGGCTGGCAGAAGCCAGTCCCTGGTAGCTCAGATGATATGGCTCAGATGGTAAAGAATCTGCCTGTGATGCAGGAGACCCAGGTTCCATCCCTGGGTTGGGAACATCTCCCGGAAAAGGGAATGGCTACTACTCACTCCAGTGTTCTTGCCTGGAGAATTCCATGGACAGAGGAGCCTGGTAGGCTATAGACCATGCGGCCGCAGAGTCAAACATGACTGAGCAATTAACACTTTCACTTTTCACTATCATTTTATTATCAAATACAATCTTTGGGTAAGCTAAAACAAGAACCCAGAATCAAGTCTCCTTCAATGGTCTTCCAAGATCATCACATAGTCTGTCACTCCAAATTTGGTCCCTCACCCCAAAACTCAGAACTGAATTTATCAAACACAATCTGTGAACATCTAAGTGGCCTTCAACTGCTTGTTCTTAATGTGGCAGCTCAAATACAAACAAGGATACTAAAGGTTCTGCTCATGGCTATGCTGCCAGCAAGATGGGTATAACTTTTGATCAGAGGCCTTATCTAGTTGGATTTCAGATTCATCAGCTGCAACATGAAACTACACCTCAGTGACCTCTACAATCCCTACTCTAGTACTCTAGTTCAGTAAGAACTTTCCTAAACAAAACCAGGCTCTCATTTTGCAATTCACTACTCTGAAAAAATTTTATTTCCTCCATAGGAAAAATAGCAAACAAAAAATTACAGATACAAATATGTGGTTCTTTTCTGTAAATGGTTATTGATTATTGTACTATTACTTGACAACTACAGTTACTGTACTAGTACTTGAAAACTAGAGCCTATATTCTCAATCCTGAAGGTGGTTCTTCTGACCTCTGGACCATTAAGCTGCTCACCACCTCTCTAGCACTAAAATGAGAGACTTACCTTCATCTCAAAGATGCCAAATGAATGTATTAGAAGACTAAACAATGATGCCCTCATTGCATCAACTCCAAGAAAGTGGGCATAAGGATTAACCTTGAAATATTCCAGATCAATGGAGTGATGGCAATCTCTTCACAAACTCAAAGAACTACAAACACAGCATTTATTCAATGATTTGTGAAACTTTGGGGGTAAGGCTATTTAAATCATGGATTTAATCAAGTTATCACTTCCTGCTTAACATATTAAAAACTATATTGGATGAGGACAAATTTCCCAGGAAAATAAAGCAAACTTGTTTTCTGGGGGGAAAAATAACTTCTTCTCACAAGTTGTCATTTAAATGTCTTCATTAAGAACTTGTTATTACACAACTGTATTGGCTGTTGTCACCAAAGACAAGGGGTTGAATAGAACAGTCCAATTTTTGGCGATCCAAGATGAGTACTTGTTGGATTCCTATCAAACACTTGAATGAAACTCAATATACAGACTCCAAGGAATTAGTTTGCCTTCTATCAAATAAATTTTGATCCAGTAAAGGAAGATCATATTCTTCTGGATTAGCAACAAACATTTCACTGATCTCAGTTCTTCCATACAGAGCTCAAGACTCCTCCAGTGACATATCCCAAAAAGTAAAAATGCAAAACTTGCTGGGAAAAAAGACTTCCATATGAATATCGAGCAATGAGTTAGTTATCAGTGACCTAAGAGGCACCTACAGAATACTTACGAATTTGTATGTAGATATTCAAAGGTTAGCTGAGCTCGATTCAGACTGCTGTAATTCGTGAAAGCCATGAGTGCGGTGATGTCTCCAGTTCTTTAACCACTAATCGGGAAATACAAGTTACAATGGAATAGATTTTTCAGGACTCCTTCCAGTAAAAATTTGGTAAATCTGTGCTCCTCAGTTAAACAAAGTTATCTAGTTATCCATCTAACATATATTCAAAAAGACGTCTAAAACAAAAACTGATATCTTCCTTAAATTTTTTTATCCTCTCAATGACTACGATGTAATATTTTGGAAGAAACTACGTCATAAATCTGTAGTCTTAAGGAACATTAGCATTAATTTGCGATAATTCACTGACTGGAATGTGGTTCGTCCTAGAGTAGTTGATACTGGAGTTGGCGATTTAATTACTGCTCCATCTTCGCGTTCTTTCGAGTTTTTTGTTGTTGTTGTTCCTCTAAATTTCCTATGAGGAAATTCACCAATCCGGAAACTTACCAATCCGGAAGTCTAGCAACTTCAGTCATAAAACTGGACAGCCACACATGTCTTCGCCATCAATGATCCCAGGATCCTTAAATAAGCCCCAAACTGGCGATCACGATGTTGCTCGAGTGCATATGGCGTTAGTTCCGGCTTCACCACCTACCAACTGAAAGATTTCCTAAGCGCTGAAGACCGATTTCCGTTTTCAAAGCCCAGATCAAACCTAGCTTGCTGTGCGCCCCAATCTCCTCAGGGTAGTGAGTCAAATTACCTCACTGTGGCCCATTAAGTCGCCACAGAATTGACCCACCCAATCAACTCAGGCGGGCCGCGCCCCTCCCCCTTGCCCTCAGACAGCGGCCTCAGCCTCTCAGGCCCTCACTGGGCCTCGGTCCCGTGGTCTCCTCCTCACGGAGACAAGTTAGTCCCAGTTTTCAAGGCCCGGATCGAGGACAGTGGCGAGCGCACCACCCGACTGGGCGTTGCCCGGCGCTCAGAGCTGCCTTTGTCCCTCCCCACGGAATTGGAACCCAACAACCGCAGGGCGCTCTTGGAACCATGTGCTGCCGCCACCTCCGCGTCCGCCGCGTCCGCCGCCGCCGCCGCCGCGAGACCAGCCGCCCTCGCGCCGCGCTAGATGAGATGGTGACAGGACTCAGCACTACAAAATTCGGCGTCTAGGGCTGCTCCGCCGAGACCGCCACCGCCACCTCTTTGTCTCCGCCAGTGCACACAACCCGGGCCGCCTCGCGCACTCCCCGACGCCCCAAGTCCCCGAGGCCTCCGCGGCGTATTCCGCCAATCACAGAGCCGCAGCTCCTCCCGCCCCCGCCCTGATGCGACGCCTCCTGATTGGCGGGTAGCGTGTCTACACGTGACCGGATTTTGTTAGCCGGGCCCGCCCCTGTCACGTGAGTGCGCGCGCCTCTCTTCCTGCTTTCTTGACCCTCTCCGCCATTTAAAGAAACAGTACCGGGGGCGGGCCGAGCGACGCAGCCGGGACGGCAGCTGCAGCGCGGACCGGAGGAGCCATCTTGTCTCGTCGCCGGGGAGTCAGGCCCCTAACTCAAAGAAGCCCTGGCGCGCCCTCCCCCCCTTCCCGGTCTGGTAGGGCGAAGGAGCGGGCGCGCGGTCGATCGAGCGATCGGTTGGCGGCTCTTTCTCCTGCTCTGGCATCCAGCTCTTGGGGCGCAGGCCCGGCCGCCGCGGCGCGCGCCCGGTGGCCGTTGGCGCTCGCGCCGCGTCTTTCTTCTCGTACGCAGAACTCGGGCGGCGGCCTATGCGTTTGCGATTCGACGAGGAGTCGTCCGGGTGGTTGGCGGCGGCGGGCAGCTGCTCCGCCCCGCTCCCGGGGAGGCGGCGGCGGCGGGATTTGGCGCGGCCGGGGAAGCTGGGGTGGCCGGGGCCGGCCTGGAGGCCTGGCGCCACCCTTCGGGGCCTGCAAGGACCCAGTTGGGGGGGCAGGAGGGGGCCGGGGGATGGTTGGTGGTGGGCTTTCTACTTTGCCTTTTCCTCCTTATGCCGCCTTAGTGAGGGGCGGGAGCTCTGGCGGCAACTCCGGGGTGGAGAAGCGAGCTCCGGAGTCGGAAGAGCGGTGTTTGCTTCCGGGCCTAGCCACCAGCTGGCCGAGTGACCTTAGGCAAGTCACTCAGTAATTTGTCTGCGCCTCAGTTTCCTCCTCTATCAACGTTTGTGGGATTGAAAGCGCTTTGTAAACCATAAAGCGTCAGTGGATGAAAGGAATGATCATTGTTCGTTATGGTTGGCTTTTTTTTTTTTTTTTTTTGGAGTTGTAAGAAAACTTAGAAATTCCCAGTCCTTGGATATTGAACCTGGAAACCTTGGACTGGAGATGGAGATCCCCAAACTCCCTGAAATTGTGTGCAGAAGTTAGTGGGAATATGCAATTTAGGGAAATGAGGATCCATCGCCAGCAAGTTTTCAGAGGGGGCTGTGACCCGGAAGAGTTAAGAACCACAGTTCCTTGGCCACAAGGAGGAAACTGAGGCCTAGATGTCATTTGGGACCCGTCACAACCAAGTTGAAGCCCCTGTTGAATCCCTGGGATATGTGAGCTGTTCTATGCATAGTGAATATTCGGGGTAACAACACTCCACTGCTTGGCTTCTGAGTCCTTTCGCTATGGGTTGCCTGAAGGGCGGCTGATGCTTATGGTACAGTGGCACCCAATATAAAGCAGCTGAAACTAGGAGTGGATGTGTTCTCTAGTGTCAAGAAGCCTATTCAATCTTTGCCCCAACAACTTTTTATTTTCTGGTGCCTGACTACCTTTCTAACTCTCTCATTGACCATTTTCCATGACCGTGGTTGCCATCCGTTACTTGCTCTTGTTTTATATTCCTAGCTCCGTGTGGTTGGTAGTGAGGAGGCTTATTTTTAAATGGTGCTGCCAAGTCCAGCTAATTAATGGTGCAGGTGGGTTTCTAGCAAGCTGTCTCACTGGAATAGACTGAACTAGACATGGAATTCCTGAAGATGTTTGTTAATTGAAGGTTGACATTCTCTGAAAAGTTTTGTTAGAACTTCTTCTGAACCTCAAAGTCAGTAGTTGGAAGTGTTTCAAACCTTAACTTTCCTCCCCGCCTGCTTTGTTTTCTCTTTGCTTGCAAGTGTGTTGTTAAGATGGCCAAAATGCCAGTTTTTGCTTCTTTGTTAATTGTCAGCTGCTTTTTATCAGATTCCAGGCCATTTTCCAGCAAACACTATAGAAATGTTCGAACACTTGGATTTCAAACATTTTCGTTTTGTGGAGTGGTGCTTACCGTGGTACAGCTCTAAGTAAGCAAATGCAAACACACTTAAGTGTTTTGTCTGTTAGGTGTTAGCCGGTTCTGCTATTTCATACAAATGTCTGGAAAAAATCTATTGACTGTTCCCTTTACCTGGAGGGCAGAGACAAATGATCTCAATTCCAGAGAAATGACTGTTTTGGAGACAAATGTGTTGGTCTTTTAGCTCTTTTGTAATTAAATCTGGATGTACCTCAAAAGAATCTTGAGACTGTGGTGATACGATGCTTTCCTCAGGAGAAAGGAGGAAAAAACCAACTGGAACTCAAAGCTTGAAATTCTGTGACAAAACATGACCTGTCCAGAATAGGAGGTTGAAAGGGTTTCACTACAGCGTTCTGCACTCGCTGGAACCCATGTCTTTCAGTGTAGTCACCGCATGGGCTCTAGATTTCCAGAATTTCAAGAACTGCATCTGGGACCTGGAAGAAAATACCAGGGTGTGACAGGAACTCGGGAGCTGGACATTTTTATTTCTGAATTTGAGGATCGTTGTCCTTGTTTTGAAAAAGAGACAATGACTGAGCAAGCACTGCCACCAGCGCTGTTACTGGGAATTTGGAGACCTGAGTTTTCAGCAAACCCTCAGTGCAAACTCTGGCGATGCTCCATCCAAAGTGAACTACGGTACTTGCCATTTTCCAAAATGCCTTTTTCTTTACCATCTCTGCTCTTCTGTTCATGCTCTCTTCTCTATCCTGGAATACCTTCCTCTGCTTCTTCATCTGTCAAAACTGCCATTTCCTCAATATCCAACTCATGTTTTCTTCTCCATGACACTCTTAACCTTAGCAGAAATTAACCTTTTTTTAAGTTTTTTGATGTCTTTTTGTATATCTTTTATTTATCTTTGTATACAGTAGCTTATAAAGTACTTTTTTGTGTGCATTGCATTAGTTTTCCTTACAGGTAACAGCCCCTTGAAAGCAGGGGCCTTGTCTTGGGAACTTTTGCCCAGACATGTTAACCACATATGATGAAGCTTTAGTAGAAAGAAGAACTTTAGAGACCAGGCTGTTGCCAAATAAGCACTCAATAAATATCTGCTTAGTTGCTGTGTGATAACCTAATTATTCTTGATTATTGAAAAAGTCACTAGTTATGGGCCATGTCTCTTCCTTTACTTCATATTTTATTAATTTTTAATTCTAACTTTAAAAAATTTTAGGGATCCCTCAAATATGAAGAGAAACACCCATATTGCATTGGGTATAATAGAGGAGTGCAAGGGCAAGAGTTTTATTATTCCCTGTATACCTTACTGTCTCCTGCTCAAGGTGGAATTATTAAAATTAAAGTTAAGGATATCAACTTAAATCCAGTTCTCAGACCACCTGGGAGACACTTTGTTTTCCCCCACCAACCACTGCCCAGGAATCTGAATACAGATAAATTACTCCTCCAGAGTATGAGAATTGGAGCCATTCCTATTTGCTGCTTTCCTGAAACAATTTGTCCTCAAGAGTCCAAAAACAGTCTTTGCCTGAGAACTCTCTGTTCTTATCATCACTGATTATTAATCATAAGTTCCCCCCCCCCCCACCACTGCATTTGTCAAGAATCAGTATCCATCAGGCAGTGGATGTGCAGAGAGCAGCCCCACCCCAGTGTCCTGTGTTTCTAATTCCAAGCATTTGTTATCTCATATGTTTTGTCACTCTCCTCTCCAGTCCTGTGCCTCCTGGTTGCCGAGTGTTCATCTGGATCTTCTGATCAGCTTTGTGCTATTCCATCAGCCTACAGATCTGGTACCTGGATTTTTGCCCATGGTGATGGATTCTGCCACCTCATTACTGAAGAAGACATCATTCCAGTGGACCACTGTGATCTAGGAGGCGTATCCAGCGAATCATCATGATGTGGCCTTCACCTCCACTCCTGTCCTGTTCCACCCAGATTCAACACAGCCTTTTGTAGTGAAGTTCAACTTCTCAAGCCAAATAGCTGAAGCTGTTTTATCACAACAAAGGTTCAGCTTATTCCATAAGTGTGCATTTCGTTTCTCCAGTTAAAGCTTTCAGAGACGCATAATAAATTTGGACCAGGGGATTTTTAGTTATCAGCACTGTCTGAAGAATGGCAGCATCTTTTTGAGAACCATACTGGACCATGCCCCACTCTCAAATGATTGAAATTCAGGAATTGTCTAATCTGGACCCCATTTTTTTTCCATTTCAAACCTGTAGTAGCCTACTGAATGAGCAAGCAGATATTCTGACCCGTTGGGATTAAAACAAAGGCACAGTGAACCCACAGCATCTTCTTTGGGATTACTCAGGAACCAGAACTTTTCCCACAAATGTAAGAAATTCTACCAAGGAATCCCTTTACCTAACAGCATCTCACAAAGCTCCAATCAGATTCCAGAAAAGGCCTCTTGATACATCCAGGTAGAACCTATATGGTAATCCCTTGTTTATATAGCACTTTACAGTTTCAAAGCACTTTTACTTGCATTAATCTCAATTACCAAATAACACAAACTATAATCCCTTTTTTCAGATGAGGAAATGGAAATTTAAAAGGGTATCCAAGGTTACACAGCTGCAAAATGGTAGAAGCCAGGCCTTCTGACTCCCAGTCCAGTTCTCTCTTTGGAATTAACTTAGTCTCTATTTTATGTGCCGTGTTAAAATAACTGGAGATTGGGAACCCCAGAAAAGTTTCCAACTTCCTGATCTCAAGTCAGTGCCCTCAGTCAGTTAGGATGTCAGAAATGTGATTTTGCAATAGTTGTACCTGGACCTGAAGTCCATGGCATCATTTCTGAGGTTTGGCAGT